CTTCAACGAAAAAGAAAACAGGAACAATTACATTTTCAACAAGTGCGTTCACTCGCTCTGCATAAAATAGCATCATTTTGGTATATTTGGTGTATCATATCATTTTGGTATATATAATTGTTGTATAAAACATGCCAAATTCCAAATATGTTACAGAGGGTTGGGATTCACTAAATACAAACAAAACTGACTGAGAAGCCTAATTAGGAACGCATCTGCGTGTGACAATGGAGTCCTGGCTGCATGCAGGAATTCCCCATTCACCCCAAACCAATCCATAAATCATAAGATATTCATGAACAGATCATTACCGTCACCAACTACCCCATGTAACAAGCAAACAGCCCTGACTGCAACGCGCTAATTAGCCTGCGCAAAATAATAATATCAGCGGCTAACCGTTTTGTTTTTATGGTGAATGATCCATTTCAACTGAGAGCGGTGGACCGAGAATGACGTGGCGATAATTTTTAAAAACAAAATACATGCGGGCAGCATTGAAATTGCAGTGAACATTTTCATTCATTTTTCTGTAATGTTTTACCTGGGTATCTGGTATCACGAAGTGTTTGGATGATGCTCCCCTTGCGCTCGTGTCACAATCCTCAGCAGCTCGCGCTTCAGCTTCAGCATCCACCAGTCTCCTCCGTTTCCAACAATGCATGCTGGGAGCTGCAAAATGCATCCATTCCTGAGATCCCCTTCTTACCTCATTGGTCGATTCGTTTGTGGTATTTAATAGCATCCCTCTTAATTTGTTTGAATTGTGGAACACAAATATTTAATATTTCAAGGATGTGGCAGCATTGCATTTTCAGTTCAGACAGATGCAGTGCTGAGAGATAAGAGAGACTCCAGACAGGTGTTTTATGGGCTATTGATTTCCAGGGAAGCCCTCTTTCCTTGAAAACACACACACCACAGAAAAACCACAGAAAATATTTATATTACATTCATTTGGAATCATATATCTTGTGTAGGCTTAATCATTATTTGGATTTCAGACAGAAGTCATAATTTCTGTTATGTATATTCTTGGGACACCAATGTGTTTTGGCCTATCCAGAGTCAGACCACAATCTCTTTATGGCAAATATTCATTAAATTACCTTTGCAAAATGAAGCCCTCCACAATTATAACATACTTGTTTACTGTCTCGATGCTCCCTATCCCATACACTCATATAAAAAAGGGTTCCAAAAGGGTTCTGCAGCTGTCCCCATAGGATAACCCTTTTTGGTTCCAGGTAGAACTCTTTTGGGTTCCATGTAGAACCCTCTGTGGAAAGAGTTATACATGGAAACCAAAAGGGTTCTACCTGGAACCAAAAGGGATTCCTCAAAGGGTTCTCCTATGGGGGCAGCCGAAGAACCCTTTTTGGTTTTAGATAGCACCTTATTTTCTAAGTGTGTAGGGCCAGAAAACACTTCACCACTACTCCCATGATAGGAACTTTGAATGACCATTCCGGGATTGAATGAGTCAAAGCTCTAACTCTCAAACTTAATGCCCTTGCTCAGTGCTGTGTAACAAATAATATAGGACATGAATTCATGATTTTGATTATAAACAGTTATATTTTTTATTTGTATTGGGAAACACCTCTTCTGATAGGCTATATGAAACGAGGTTGCCTCATATTGGAAACTTTCCAGGGTGACTGGATTGGAAACTTTTAATTAATTCAAACAAAGTTGACTGAATTAATTCAAGCCTACATCTTTGATTGTTTATAGGCTAATTCGAATTTAGTGAGTAGTTCCGGCCTTGTTCATCCTTCCAGGGAAAAACACAGTACATTCACAGATGCTGACTCCCATTGATTCCCTTAGTAAAGATATCATTGTCACTATAAGCAGACTAATTAACTTCAGGCTTAATACAAATATCAATTGCTTGTTGGGTTGATAACAGAGGGATTAGAATGTAACTAGTAAACATTGAGGTTCAATGTCAATTGTGTTTGAGATTCATAGCAAGTCAGTGGTTTGGAGCGTTTCAAGATCACAGTATTAGTATGCATGCAAGACGCACAATGTGACTTACTCCCTTTATCAAAGTCATGCAGTATTTTGTTCAAACAGCTTGAGCCCGGGGGTGTCATTTCATTGTGAGTGAGCTGTCAGAAGTTCAATGACAACAACAACACTAAATTCATTCTGAATATTTCAAATGCAACAACTATTTGATTTTATACCCAGCCTGCAACGTTGGAACGTCTGCCAAAATTCAGCTTTTGATTTCAAAGCACTTTTGACACCCAGCCCACTTATTTAAAAGAAAATTGTGCCCACTGAAATTTACCACATCAATCAATAATAGACCTCTGGCAGAGGAGACTCTTTAATGAACACATTAGTTTAGATGATTCACTACAGAGGGAAACCACAGACATGACTTACTATACGCTTTTTTCTCTTTTATTTGGATATGATATTTAGGAGTCTCTCTATATCCAATATTTGATAGTTGAATGTTTTAGCACCTTGTACATTCCAGTAATGAGTCAAATGATGTATGATGGCTAGCAGATAAAAAAAAATAAAAAAAATAAGGTGTGTTGCGCAGTGTCTAATGATTTTAATCAACAATGCCATTTCACGTTTCATTCAGCAGACACCTACCTATGTCATGAGAAATTACAGCGGATCCTCATAGGAAAGTGACATCCATTCCATTGCCATTAATCATAAAGAAACCTGACTCACTTCCAATCCCTCTCTAACTTTCCTTTGTAACAACCTGCCTTGTCATAGAGCAGACTGGGTTACTGTGAAGCACTTTGTGACAAATGTTTTTTTCAAAGGTGCTAATTAAAAAATATATATATTTGATTGATTGATTCTCTCTCCCGCTCTCTCTCTCCCTCTATCTTGCTCTCCTTCTCGCTCTCTCGCTCGCTCTCTCCTCTCTGCAGCCCTTCTATGGTCTGGCGGCTGCTCTAAAATGGTTCCTCACCAACTTCCTGCTGTAAGTGTGAGAGATCAGAGCAGCATCATCAGCAGCACAATGACTCGGCACAAAGAAAGGTAAACACTGGCATTTCAGACCCCAGTGGGAATGGGCCAAGGAGAGAGAGGAGTCATATTTAATTAATATCTCATATCAATTCAGGAAAACCACACTCTACCACACTTGCAGACACATGCTGATATTGAGAAGTGCCCCGTGGCCAGCTCCATGGGAACCACAGCGTTTTCCTTTCTGCCCGGCAGCTGTAGCCATCTCAGGGCCCAGTGGCTGCCAATGAAATGGTCCAGACAGGAAGTGGATGTTAGAGCCGGTTAAGGTCAATGGCTGTTTACTGTCGTACGATGGATGGACTGATCTTAGCCTGCAGGGCACAGCTGTGTTTTTCTATAGGACAGCTCTATTTAGCTGTTCTGCAAATGGATGATGAGGTTAGGCATGGTATAAGGTTTGCGGAGTGGCATCCATGCAAGCTGATGAAAAAAGATGTGTCTAGAATGAGGCATTGCACTGCAGTATGACTTTTGTGATGTATTAAAATGATATAATTGTACATGTACATAAACACGCTTCCTGGTACCTAGACTGTTGACCAGGTCCATCTTTAGTCAAGATCAGCAGGGTCTGCTGGAGACCTCAGGTGGCTGGTTATAAATATAAAACCTCACAGCACAAGCATTCACATCACACAGTCAAACCACTGTACCATGCATCATGACTGTAAGTCGCTTTGGATAAAAGCGTCTGCTAAATGGCATATTATTATTATTATTATACTGTACAAAGGGGAAGGGACCGTCTGGACCACTTTCTAAAGCAATTTATCTCACAGATATGCTGGGGTTTGGGTCAATATGTGGGGGAAAACAGTGACGCCTGACTGAGTTGCAGCACTAAATGGAAAGAGCTCATTTCAGAGGGAGGGAAGGCTGCCATTATTGATTGCTTCCTGCCCTCTCTCATTTGATGAAGAGGTCCAGGAGGAACACTGCTGGTGCCATTTGTCTCTCATTTGCTCAGAGCAAATCTGAGTCACTGGGTGGAGACACAGTGCGATGGTCACAGAGGAGGAAACCCTCCGGATAGGAAGGAGGGATTCATGGGAGGATGAGAGAGATGTTCATTGTGTTTAACAGGATCAGTCTGAGGAAAGAGCTGTTCAGAATCACTGATCTACAAAATCACCTCGCATCAATATTGCGAGAGAGCAAGAGAGAGAGAGTGAGAGAGAGAGAGAAAACAGATAGACAGGCAGAGAGAGAGAGAGACAGAGACAGAGAGAGAGAGAGAGAGAGAGAGAGAGAGAGAGAGAGAGAGACTGTAAGAGAAAAGGCAGGATAAAGAAAAGCAGAACACTGACTGTACAAACTGATTAGAAGGTAGGCTGTTTTACAGTATATTTGAAAATGTAGGAAATGGATAGTTAAGCCTACAATGACAGTGAATGAGTACGGCTGTTTCAGTTGGCAGACTGAACAGCATTTTATTACAGTTAAAAGTGATAGAAGTACATTAGCCTGTAATTGAATTGGACTCCATAAGGGAAAACTAAGCTGAAATTGGGTATGTGCTGCTACTCCCTAGTGGTGATGATAATGCAGCAAAAAGAGGGTACAGTTTTTTCAGATTGCCACTAAGGGAAAGCAAACACCAAAGACTGTAAAGTTTAAAAGCATCTAATTTTAGGTAGAGGTGAACTAGGCAATGTTGAATAGGCTCTCTTTTGCTTTGGTCCTGACACATTTTAGTATCTTTACAGACAAGATTATAAAATCATGAAATCTATGTGCAGTCATGGTTAAAACATGTATTACTTGTGATAATAGCTTATATGGCTTAGAAACCGTTTCATACAGAAACAATTTTTTTTATGGAATACTTGGTTCTTAGTGGTAAAATACTGCTTTTGGTCTTTGGAGTCTCCTGAGTGGTTGTCATATTCTCTCTTTGGCACTAAAGAAGGCATCGTCATAATCTCTGGTATGACATCAGGGTAGGCATTGCTAGGAATGCTGTTGTCATGGTTACCCTAAGAACAGGTGCTGTAGACCGTGACTTTCTGGCTGATGTCATTGAGCAGCTGGCGTGCCGTTTTCTCCAGCCCGGCCAGCTGACCTGCCTTGGCCTCCAGAGTACGCTGGTTGGCCGCATACGACCTCTCCAACTCTGGAAACACACAGTGGTGTCATTAGAGAGAGTGTGTGTGTTTGTTTGTGCATATGCATGCATGCGTGAATGTGCGCTTGTGCGTGCATGCTTGTGTGTGTTAGCGCGTTGGTTTGTGTGTGTGTGTGTGTGTGTGTGTGTGAGCATGCATGTGTGTGTTACCACTGAGTCTCTGTAGTTTTTCGCTGGTCTGGATGAGCAGCTCCTTGGCCTCCTGCTGCAGTAGCTCCGCCCTCTTCCTGGCGTCGGACACGCCCTCTGCCTTCGTCACCACCAAGCCCTCCACAACACTGTACTTAACCTTCACCTCCGAGTCAAACTCCTACACACAAACACACACACAAAGCAGAAAACACATTGAGAATGGGTAACAATTTAATTGGCAGCTAGAATGCTGGGCTGTGTGTGTGCGTGTGTGTGTGTGTGTGTACCTGCTGGGCCTGCTCTGCGTCCTGCCTGGCGGTCTCAGACAGTCTCTCAGTGTGCTGTGTGCGGTTGCTGGTGCCCTGGCTGCTCTCTCTCAGCACAGTTACGTCTCTTTCCAGCTGCAGCAGACGCAGTGTGGCGTTACTCAGACGCAGCTCCGACTCCGCCGTCTCCGACTCCACCTATAAACACACAAACACATATTAGCATGTATTCATACACAGACGCAAACACACACACACATGTATTGCTCTTCTATCCTCGTGGGGACCTAAAATGAATTTCCATTCAAAATCATATTTTCCCTAAACCTAACCCTAACCCTTACCACAAGCCTAACCCTAATCTTACCCCTAACCCTAACCTGTAACCCTAACCTAAACCCAGCTCCTAATCCTAACCCTAAACCTAACCCTTAAGCTTAAAATACCCTTTGTCCTCATGGGGACGTGGGAATTTTCCTTGTTTTACTATCCTTGTGGGGACTTTTGGGGATTTTACATCCCAACAAGGATAGAAGAACCAACCCCCCCCCCCCCCCACACACACACACACACACACACACGCAAACACACATCTAAGCATGCACACACAGATGCAAGCACACACATCACACAATACACACTTTTAGAGACCTTGTATGGGATGTGCATTTCTACAAATCTCCAAAATTGCTCTCTCTACAATGCATAGGCTGAAAACCCTAAAAACATGTGGTATATGGCCAATATACCACGGCTAAGGGCTGTTCTTATGCACGACACACCCCTGAGGTGCCTTATTGCTATTATAAACTGGTAATCAATGTAATTAGAGCAGTAAAAATAAATGTGTCATACCCGTGGTATGACAAATCAGCATTCAGAGCTCAAACCACCCAGTTTATAATAAAGCTTATACCACAATCGAGAGAATTGCCCCTGTGTGCTTAGACACAATTGAAGCCCTGGTCAGAGGTCAGAGGTGACTTACAGAGGTGATGAGGTCAAGTGTTCCCCTGGTGTTGTTGTGGGCCTGTTTGACGGTGTCGATGGCAGCATTCTGAGCGTGCTCAGTTGTTTCCAGAGCCTCCTTCACCAGGGCAGCTGTCTCCTTCATCTCAGACGCCTCCTGACTGAGAGACAGAGAGAGAGGAGATTGTATGTTTTTGTGTGTGCATGTGTGCGCGTGTGTCTTATCAATGTGGTTCAAGTGTGTGTGCATTTATTAGTGTGTTTGTGTGTGTGTGTGTGTTTGTGTGCATGTGTTTGTGTGCGTGTGTGTGTGCATGCATTCATGCATGCGTGCATCTTACCTGGCGGTGCGGGCCTGCTCCAGCAGCCTCTTTGCAGTGTGTATGTCGTTGGCACTCTGACTGAGGATGTCCTCCACTCTGGTGAGGGTTCCCACCCTGTCTCTGATCTCCTGGGTCAGGGCCTCCAGCTGCCCGGGCGACGTGGGCATTTCCAGGGCCAACACCTCGTTTGACACTGCTTCGATAACCTCCACGTTGGCACGGTCGTCTGTCACCGTGGAAAAAGGAGCTAATTAGACTCAGAGAACCATACATAGGTGAAATATCACAATCAATTCTAATCCATTCTAATCACAATCATTACCTATCACTCACATGGGGAAAGAAGAGCTGGAGCCCTGATTGTCTATGAATCAGTGATAATTTACAGAACATTAAAAGATTGAGGCCTGCTCTTTGGAAAAATGTATGTATACTCACTAGTGAGTAGGTCTCGTATCTCCTTGATGAGGCTGCGGAGCTGCTCGTTGCTGTGCTCCACTCTATCTCGGCTCTGGTTGGACTTCAGCAGCACCTCCTGAGCACTCAGCTTGGCCTCGTCTGCACGCACCTTCACCTCCCACACCTAGAGGGCGCCACGGGACATGTTAACTCAAACACAGTAAGGTAAACACTCCTCAACAGATCAACGCTTGTGCCGGAGCAAGCAGATATTCTATGCTCTTTGGTAACTATGATGATAAGGTAAGATGACCTGACTATATTCATGAAGGGCTGAATCATAACTGAACATCAGCTCTATTATTATATGCATGAATCTCAAGTTAGGATTCGTCCCAGAGAGTAAAAAACGACAGTTCCCACCATCCTAGAGAGCTTGTCCACTTCCTGCATGGCGGACAGGATTTCCTGGTCGAAGTCCTTGGCTGTTTTCAGAGCGCTTTGTGTCTGTGTGACCAGACCCTCACACCCCTCTCCACCACAGCGATGGGTGCCATCAACCGACACACACCCCACCCCTCCACAGGGGGACGCAGCACACCCCTCCTTCCCTCCAGCCGCTCCACATGTCTGCACAGAGAGAAAACACACCAATCGGGTTAGAGCACTGGAAAACCAGGGACCGATCAAAAAAGCAGTATGGCGAAGAAGTGCGATGATAATTGGCTACTGATAGGTCAGACTTACCTGCTTGCTGAGCTCTGATAGGTCAAGAGTTTCGAGCTCTGTGGCGAGCCGCTCCAGTCTCTCTGTGTGTTTCTGTTGTCTCAGGTCAAACTCGGCCTGGTTCTGGCTCAGTCTGGCCTCCGCTTCGTGCCGTAGTGTAGCCGACTGTTCCAAAGTGTTGTCGGGGTAACTGGTGGTCTGATTGGCACGGATCTCCGCCTTCTTAGACTCCAAGTGTGCCTCGGTGATGGTGTCCATCGCTCCTGATATACACAAATAAAACAGACACACACACACACAGGGCACAGGGGTGTGTCAGAACTAGTAATGATGTCATGCATACTGTACCCCCTCTCTCACCCTCTACCCCTCTCTCCCTCCTCTCTCACCCTCTATGTTAGAGTTCTTCACAGTCTTTATGTGGTCTCTCATGTCTTTGACTGTTCTCTCCAGCTCTCGGGCTTGCTCTCTCAGTGTGTCTATACTGGCCTCAGTGTCGTTGGCATTGACAACGAGACGTGACAGGGAATCATCTGAGACGTTCAGCCTCTCGTTCAGGTCTGCCACCAGCTCACTGTTACAGACACAAACACACACAATCGTATTTTCATTAGAGTTGACATGGACTGATCATAACATCAAGCATACAAACAGAACCCTTGGCGCTGTGTGTGTCAATGCGTAAATGTGTGTATGCATGTGCGTGTTTGTGTGTGTGTGTGGAAGTGCACGTGTTTGTGTGTACATACGTGGCCTGCTGCATCATCCGTTGTACATCTTCCATCCTCTGTATAGCAGGGTTGTTCTCTACTATCGCACTGATAGCATTAGCACTAATCTCCAGACTGCTAACGGTGTCTTTGTATGGCGCCGTCACCCCATTGGTCTGGAGCTCTGTCACATGATCTTTCAAACGCTGCGTCTGATTGGTCAGTTCCCCTACCACGCGGTCCCACTCGGCGAAGCACCGGTGGCATCGTTCGCAGGCAGGGAACTCCCCATGGTACCCCCTGGCACACTGGTTACACCTGGGCCCAGACACACCCTCCACACACACACACTGGCCGGACGAACGGTGGCACTGCTCCCTGGCGATGCCACGCAGGTCACAGTTACACGCTGGAGGGAGAGAGAGAGAAAGTGGAAGAGGAGAAGAGAGCAAAGGGTTAAACACATACACATACCTAGAGTTGACTTGAGGTGAAAACAGTGGTGATGATGGAAAGGAAATCAACTCCTAGTAATATGAGAACAGGTCTGTGCCCTTTAAAAGCCCCCTACGGAAACAGAGGTATTGCAAAACTATATTATTAACGGCTCAACAGTCCTGCAATACGAGTAAATAGGCCCACAGGTAGCCTTGACCTCTGAACTCTATCCCCCTTTTGACCCCCCAGTCTGAAGCACATCAGAGACAAACCCTCTTACCTCTAGAGTGGAGGAGAGGAGAAGGAGAGGAATGGAGTGATGGAGTAAGTCAGAGTGAAAGAATGTGGGGAATGGAGAATAGGAAAGGGTGTATATAAGTGGTTAGCTCCCATTAGTGTTGCCTGAGCTTTTGAAGAGGGTGATTGATGCAAAAAAAAAGAAAAATGATTCAACATACAATTATAAAGCAACCAGCTGCAATAGGATTGTGAGTTTGCTCAACAAAATACCATTAAAGTTAATTCAATGTACATTTGTAAGGCAACCAGCTGCAATAGGATCGTGACTTTGCTCAACATTTGGTGTACAAATGAACACCTGCTCTTTCCATAATATAGATTGACTATGATCCCTTATTGATGTCACTTTGTAAATCCACTTCAATCAGTGTAGATGAAGGGGAGGAGACAGGTTAAAGAAGGATTTTAAAGCCTTGAGACAATTGAGACATGGATTGTGTATGTGTGCCATTCAGACGGTTAATGGGCAATACAAAAGGTGCCAGGCGCACCGGTTTGTACCAAGAACTGCAACGCTGCTGGGTTTTTCACACTCAGCAGTTTCCAGTCTGTATCAAGAATGGTCCACCAACCAAAGGACATCCAGCCAACACCTTGTAAAGTCCCGACGAATTGAGGCTGTTCTGAGTACAAAAGTTTGGAGTTTTGTACACTCAATGTAGCTGAGTGTAGCTGAACAAACATACATTCTTAAGTTGATTTGTATGTTCTCTCAACTTAGAATTTTAGGTTGAGTGAACATACAATTCAAATTGACATTTATTCTACCTTTTTTGCATATTTCCCAGTGTAAAATGAACTCTTTATGACAATACATTACATATATCGTAAAGCCTTTCTTTGAGGGCCTAGTTACACCCTAACACAGTGGTCTGAAGCTCTTGTTTTACAGCCTGCAAGTCACATTATGCTGGCTTGCAAAGTGATGTGTAATTCCTATTGGAGTTAATCACCCGCAACGGCTGCCAGGGTAGTCATTCTCAGTTAGTCCTTTTTATCTGAGAACAGCTCACACACACACACAAAAAAACACACACACACAAACACACAAACACCCTGCTTTTATGGTCACCATAACCCAGAGTGCTCAGGCTTAGGACTGCAACCGCTACTGTTACACTGTCAACACAACCACATACTACTGATACCTACTGTTACACTGTCAACACAACCACACACTACTGATACCTACTGTTACACTGTCAACACAACCACACACTACTGATACCTACTGTTACACTGTCAACACAACCACACACTACTGATACCTACTGTTACACTGTCAACACAACCACACACTACTGATACGGTAGTGAACCTAAACATGACATGTACTGCTGACAGTAAGATGAGTGACCCCACCACTATACACAAAGGCGGTCATGAACAGGTAACACCATAATCACAATCACACACACATGTGGTCGGGTTGTGCTTGTGCCAATGACCGTGACATCTTAATTCATACCACACACACACAGACGTTGTTGTCAAGCCTGTCACTTTAACCTCATACCTCTTAAATCAGACCGTGACATGATCCTCTTAACCCAGCCATGGTGTCAATCATCAACAATTTCTCTCTTTCTCTCTCTCTTACTCTCTCTCTTTCAACATTTACATTTTACATTTTAGTCATTTAGCAGACGCTCTTAACCAGAGCGACTTACAGGAGCAATTAGGGTTAAGTGCCTTGCTCAAGGGCACATTAACGTCATTTAGCAGACGCTCTTAGCCAGAGCGACTCACAAATTGGTGCGTTCACCCTATAGCCAGTGGGATAACCACTTTACAATTTGGGGGGGGGGGGGGGGGGGGGGGGGGGGGGGGGGGGGGGGGGGGGTTAGAAGGAATACTTTATCCTATCCCAGGTATTCCTTAAAGAGGTGGGGTTTCAAATGTCTCCGGAAGGTGGTGAGTGACTCCGCTGTCCTGGCGTCGTGAGGGAGCTTGTTCCACCATTGGGGTGCCAGAGCAGCGAACAGTTTTGACTGGGCTGAGCGGGAGCTATGCTTCCGCAGAGGAAGGGGAGCCAGCAGGCCAGAGGTGGATGAACGCAATGTCCTCGTTTGGGTGTAGGGACTGATCAGAGCCTGAAGGTACAGAGGTGCCGTTCCCCTCACTGCTCCATAGGCAAGCACCATGGTCTTGTAGCGGATGCGAGCTTCAACTGGAAGCCAGTGGAGTGTGCGGAGGAGGGGGGTGACGTGAGAGAACTTGGGAAGGTTGAACACCAGACGGGCTGCGGCATTCTGGATGAGTTGTAGGGGTTTAATGGCACAGGCAGGGAGCCCAGCCAACAGCGAGTTGCAGTAGTCCAGACGGGAGATGACAAGTGCCTGGACCAGGACCTGCGCCGCTTCCTGTGTAAGGCAGGGTCGCACTCTCCGAATGTTGTAGAGCATGAACCTGCAGGAGCGGGTCACCGCCTTGATGTTGGCGGAGAACGACAGGGTGTTGTCCAGGGTCACGCCTAGGCTCTTCGCACTCTGGGAGGAGGACACAGCGGAGTTGTCAACCGTGATGGCGAGATCATGGAACGGGCAGTCCTTCCCCGGGAGGAAGAGCAGCTCCGTCTTGCCAGGGTTCAGCTTGAGGTGGTGATCCGTCATCCATACTGATATGTCTGCCAGACATGCAGAGATGCGATTCGCCACCTGGTTATCAGAAGGGGGAAAGGAGAAGATTAGTTGTGTATCGTCAGCGTAGCAATGATAGGAAAGGCCATGTGAGGATATGACAGAGCCAAGTGACTTGGTGTATAGGGAGAAAAGGAGAGGGCCCAGAACCGATCCCTGGGGGACACCAGTGGTGAGAGCACGTGGTGCGGAGACAGCTTCCCGCCACGCCACTTGGTAGGAGCGACCGGTCAGGTAGGACGCAATCCAGGAGTGAGCCGCGCCGGAGATGCCCATCTCGGAGAGGGTGGAGAGGAGGATCTGATGGTTCACAGTATCAAAGGCAGCAGACAGGTCTAGAAGGACAAGAGCAGAGGAGAGAGAGTTAGCTTTAGCAGTGCGGAGAGTCTCCGTGACACAGAGAAGAGCAGTCTCAGTTGAATGACCAGTCCTGAAACCTGATTGGTTTGGATCAAGAAGGTCATTCTGAGAGAGATAGCAAGAGAGTTGGCTAAAGACGGCACGCTCAATAGTTTTGGAAAGAAAAGAAAGAAGGGATACTGGTCTGTAGTTGTTGACATCAGTGGGGTCGAGTGTTGGTTTTTTGAGAAGGGGAGTAACTCTCGCTCTCTTGAAGACGGAAGGGACATGGCCAGCGGTCAAGGATGAGTTGATCAGCGAGGTGAGGTAGGGGAGAAGGTCACCGGAGATGGTCTGGAGAAGGGAGGAGGGGATGGGGTCAAGCGGGCAGGTTGTTGGGCGGCCTGCAGTCACAAGTCGCAGGATTTTATCTGGAGAGAGAGGGGAGAAAGAAGTCAAAGCATAGGGTAGGGCAGTGTGAGCAGGACCAGCAGTGTCATTAGACTTAACAAACGAGGATCGGATGTCGTCAACCTTCTTTTCAAAGTGGTTGACGAAGTCATCCACAGAGAGAGAGGAGGGGGGGGGGGGGGGGGGGAGGATTCAGGAGGGAGGAAAATGTGGCAAAGAGCTTCCTAGGGTTAGAGGCAGATGCTTGGAATTTAGAGTGGTAGAAGGTGGCCTTAGCAGCAGAAACAGATGAAGAAAATGTAGAGAGGAGGGAGTGAAAAGATGCCAGGTCGGCAGGGAGTTTAGTTTTCTTCCATTTCCGCTCCGCTGCCCGGAGCTCTGTTCTGTGAGCTCGCAATGAGTCATCAAGCCACGGAGCTGGAGGGGAGGACCGAGCCGGCCGGGAGGATAGGGGACACAGAGAGTCAAAGGATGCAGAAAGGGAGGAGAGGAGGGTTGAGGAGGCAGAATCAGGAGATTGGAGGGAGAAGGATTGAGCAGAGGGAAGAGATGATAGGATGGAAGAGGAGAGAGTAGTGGGAGAGAGAGAGCGAAGGTTGCGGCGGCGCATTACCATCTGTGTAGGGGCAGAGTGAGTAGTGTGGGAGGAGAGTGAGAGAGAAAAGGAAACAAAGTAGTGGTCGGAGACATGGAGGGGAGTTGCAGTGAGATTAGTAGAGGAGCAGCATCTAGTGAAGATGAGGTCAAGCGTATTGCCTGCCTTGTGAGTAGGGGGGGACGGTGAGAGGGTGAGGTCAAAAGAGGAGAGGAGTGGAAAGAAGGAGGCAGAGAGAAATGAGTCAAATGTGGACATAGGGAGGTTGAAATCCCCCAAAACTGTGAGGGGTGAGCCATCCTCAGGGAAGGAACTTATCAAGGCGTCAAGCTCATTGATGAACTCTCCAAGGGAACCTGGAGGGCGATAGATGACAAGGATATTAAGCTTAAATGGGCTAGTGACTGTGACAGCATGGAATTCAAATGAGGAGATAGACAGATGGGTTAGGGGAAAAATTGAGAATGTCCACTTGGGAGAGATGAGGATTCCTGTACCACCACCCCTCTGACCAGATGCTCTCGGGGTATGCGAGAACACATGGTCAGACGAGGAGAGAGCAGTAGGAGTAGCGGTGTTTTCAGTGGTGATCCATGTTTCCGTCAGCGCCAGGAAGTCGAGGGACTGGAGGTTGGCATAGGCTGGGATGAAGTCAGCTTTGTTGGCAGCAGAACGGCAGTTCCAGAGGCTGCCTGCGACCTGGAACTCCACGTGGGTGGTGCGTGCAGGGACCACCAGGTTGGAGAGGCAGCAGCCACGCGGTGTGGTGCGTTTGTGTAGCCTGTGCAGAGAGGAGAGAACAGGGATAGGCAGAGGCATAGTTGACAGGCTGTAGCAAATGGCTACAAAAATGCAGAGGAGATCGGAATGAAATGGACTAAGCATCTGGGAGCGGAGAGAGCAGGGCCTCCCTCACCAAAAACTTCTACCTCAGAAACTAAAATTGTTTCACTGAACCACCCGAACAAAAAACTCTCCCAACTTCCGCCTTTGGAAATCAGAATTGTTGTGAACCACAGCGGTTCAATGTTTAAAGGAATAGACTCAACCCACTTTGTTCAGCTAGCCAACTATGACACCATAGCCAACTAGCAGACTAGCATCCAATAACAATAACACACCGTTTAGCACCAACACTTGGTCACAACAAACCACCAATAATGTGATAACACACTAAACAGATCATTTCAACACACACACACGCTCATACACATACACACACATGCATACAGTATACACACAGAGCGCTGATAGGGTGAGGACAGCGACTAACTTTACAGGCAGTTTGGGAATGCAGCAGGAATTCCTGAGCCACAGGAATAAGACCATGACGAAGACAGGATGCCTCTGATTTCTGGAACATCTGGCCCTATTTCTCACATGAACCAAGGAGTTATTTCCAGATTTTCACTCTCAAAATCTCTCCCCTCCCTCTCTCCTCTCTCCTCTCACCCTCTCTCCTCTCTCTCTCTCTTTCACTGTCTCTCTGAGGGTGTGCAAACTTCACGTATACATGAGGTATACACTACCGGTCAAAAGTTGTAGAACACCTACTCATTCAAGGGATTTTCTTTATTTTTACTATTTTCTACATTGTAGAATAAATCGAAGACATCGAAACTATGAAATAACACATATGGAATCATGTAGTAAGCCAAAAAAGTGTTAAACAAATCAAAATATATTTTATATTTGAGATTTTTCAAATAGCCACCCTTTGCCTTGATGACGTTTCTCTTTGCTGTTCTTGCCATAATATGGACTTGGTCTTTTACCAAATAGGGCTATCTTCTGTATACCCCCCTACCTCGTCACAACACAACTGATTGGCTCAAACGCATTAAGAAGGAAAGAAATTCCACAAATTAACTTTTAAGAAGGCACACTTGTTAATTGAAATGCATTCCAGGTGACTACCTCATGAAGCTGGTTGAGAGAATGCCAAGAGTGTGCAAAGCTGTCATCAAGGCAAAGGGTGGCTATTTGAAGAATCTCAAATATAAAATATACAGTGGGGAAAAAAAGTATTTAGTCAGCCACCAATTGTGCAAGTTCTCCCACTTAAAAATATGAGAGAGGCCTGTAATTTTCATCATAGGTACACGTCAACTATGACAGACAAATTGAGAAAAAAGAATCCAGAAAATCACATTGTAGGATTTTTAATGAATTTATTTGCAAATTATGGTGGAAAATAAGTATTTGGTCACCTACAAACAAGCAAGATTTCTGGCTCTCACAGACCTGTAACTTCTTCTTTAAGAGGCTCCTCTGTCCTCCACTCGTTACCTGTATTAATGGCACCGGTTTGAACTTGTTATCAGTATAAAAGACACCTGTCCACAACCTCAAACAGTCACACTCCAAACTCCACTATGGCCAAGACCAAAGAGCTGTCAAAGGACACCAGAAACCAAATTGTAGACCTGCACCAGGCTGGGAAGACTGAATCTGCAATAGGTAAGCAGCTTGGTTTGAAGAAATCAACTGTGGGAACAATTATTAGGAAATGGAAGACATACAAAACCACTGATAATCTCCCTCGATCTGGGGCTCCACGCAAGATCTCACCCCGTGGGGTCAAAATGATCACAAGAACGGTGAGCAAAAATCCCAGAACCACACAGGGGGACCTAGTGAATGACATGCAGAGAGCTGGGACCAAAGTAACAAAGCCTACCATCAGTAACACACTACACCGCCAGGGACTCAAATCCTGCAGTGTCAGACGTGTCCCCCTGCTTAAGCCAGTACATTTCCAGGCCCGTCTGAAGTTTGCTAGAGTGCATTTGGATGATCCAGAAGAGGATTGGGAGAATGTCATATGGTCAGATGAAACCAAAATAGAACTTTTTGGTAAAAACTCAACTCGTCGTGTTTGGAGGACAAAGAATGCTGAGTTGCACCCAAAGAACACCATACCTACTGTGAAGCATGGGGGTGGAAACATCATGCTTTGGGGCTGTTTTTCTGCAAAGGGACCAGGACGACTAATTCCGTGTAAAGGAAAGAATTAATGGGGCCATGTATCGTGAGATTTTGAGTGAAAACCTCCTTCCATCAGCAAGGGCATTGAAGATGAAACGTGGCTGGGTCTTTCAGCATGACAATGATCCCAAACACACCGCCCGGGCAACGAAGGAGTGGCTTCGTAAGAAGCATTTCAAGGTCCTGGAGTGGCCTAGCCAGTCTCCAGATCTCAACCCCATAGAAAATCTTTGGAGGGAGTTGAAAGTCTGTGTTGCCCAGCGACAGCCCCAAAACATCACTGCTCTAGAGGAGATCTGCATGGAGGAATGGGCCAAAATACCAGCGACAGTGTGTGGAAACCTTGTGAAGACTTACAGAAAACGTTTGACCTGTGTCATTGCCAACAAAGGGTATATGACAAATATTGAGAAACTTTTGTTATTGACCAAATACTTATTTTCCACCATAATTTGCAAATAAATTCATTAAAAATCCTACAATGTGATTTTCTGGAGAAAAAAAATTCTCATTTTGTCTGTCATAGTTGACGTGTACCTATGATGAAAATTACAGGCCTCTCTCATCTTTTTAAGTGGGAGAACTTGCACAATTGGTGGCTGACTAAATACTTTTTCCCCCCACTGTATATTGATTTGTTTAACACTTTTTTGGTTACTACATGATTCCATATGTGTTATTTCATCGTTTTGATATCTTCATTATTATTCTACAATGTAGAAAATAGTAAAAATAAAGAAAAACCCTTGAATGAGTAGGTGTTCTAAAGCTTTTGACCGGTAGTGTACATTTCTCCAGATGCAGTGATTGATGGAAACTTGCCTGTTTGTCAGTCAGTTGTTCAGCAGACAATAAACCATGTAGAGATGTAGACAGGGAGGAGTAACTTCGAGCCAACTAACACACATGCACACACTGACACAAGGACAGACATATGTACGCGCACACACACACACACACACACACACACACACACACAAACACACAGAGACAGACACATGCAAACACACAATGTTAAAACAACACGGAAGCATGAAAGCCACTTTAGCATCTCCACAGACATCCACACACACACACACACACAAACACACACACACTGTGAGAAAACTCTGTAACGCTAAGAACAATATATAACCCAGCTTCCAGCCCAGTCACTCAGGGGAACCACCGGTCATGAGAACGAGACCATGAGAGACTGTTTACTCAAACTCTCATAGACAAAACACACAGAACCCCTCTCTAAGAGTGTTTCTCCAGACCCCAGTAAATTCAGAGAGAGACCCACTTGGAGAGGAAACAATGACGCACTTAGATACCCTGTTGCACATGTTTCAGCTTCATGATGCACACAAGTTAAGGCAGTCATGGGAACAAATCAACACACGTACTTTGTACTTTCTGCTGCTACTCATAATCCCAGCCAGAGAGTTACTTACCTTGACATTTGACCTCAGGATCTCCCCAGAACATATCTCGGCACTCGTTGCATTTTCTTCCCCCGAAACCTGGCCTGCATGAGCACTGCCCCGACAGCTAGAAAACACACAACACAGGACAATACAAGACAACACAACACGTCAGCATTATGAACATGCAATATACACTGAGTGTACAAAACATTAAGAACACCTTCCTAATATCAGAACAGCCTCAAATCGTCGGGCATGGACTCTACAAGGTATTGAAAGCGTTCCACAGGGATGCTGGCCCATGTTGACTCCAATTCTTCCCACAGTTTTGTCAAGTTGGCTGGATGTCCTTTGTTTGGTGGACCATTCTTGATACACACAGGAAACTGTTGAGTGTGAAAAACCCAGCAGCATTGCAGTTCTTGGCACAAACCCGGAGCGCCTGGCACCTACTACCACACCCTGTTCAAAGGCACTTAAATCTTTTGTCTTGCCCATTCACCCTCTGAATGGCACACATACACAATCCATGTCTCAATTGTCTCAAGGCTTAAAAATCCTTCTTTAACCTGTCTCCTCCCATTCATCTACACTGATTGAAGTGGATTTAACAAGTGACATCAATAAGGGATCATAGCTTTCACCTGGATTCACATGGTCAGCCTATGTCTTGGAAAGAGCAGGTGTTCATAATGTTTTGTAGACTCAGTGTACCATCTCTAGGTTAGAGGAGGGTCTCCTTGCTACACACTGTACAACGGACAGTGGCCTGTATTGTATACAGAGTCTCAGAGTAGGAGTGCTGATCTAGGATCAGATCCCTCTGTTCATATAATCTTATTCAGTATGATCTAAAAAGTAAATCTGATCCTATATCAGCACTCCTATTCTGAAACGATTTGTGAATACGGTCCAGGGTGTCTGCAGCACAATAAAAAAACATGTCTGTATTACAAAATAATAATGAATTACTATTGGGTCTAGCTCTCTCCTGTTCTTAGCCCATAAATGGTTGATGGAGTTTCTCTCTCTGTCACTGAGTGGAATGTGTGTTTAGTAACCCCAAAGTGTATTCTGAGCCTTCCTTCCTCTATGGAACTCAGCCAGTAAACACATCACTCCTGCTGACAGCTAGTTTTTCCCAACCAGGAAAAGTATGTGTTTTCTAATCAGGAAAACTCTCAGCCCAAGCCCTAGTTACATGTGCCATCAAACCGCTGCAACTTATCCAGAACGCCGCATCCCGCCTGATTGAACACCTTCCCAAGTTCTCCCATGTCACCCCACTCCTCTGCACACTCCACTGGCTTCCAGTCGAAGCTCGCATCCACTACAAGACCATGGTGCTTGCCTACGGAGCAGCAAGAGGAACCGCCCCTCCCTACCTTCAGGCTATGCTCAAACCCTACACCCCAACCCGAGTACTCCATTCTGCCACCTCTAGTCTCTTGGCCCTCCCATCCCTACGGGAGGGAAGCTCCCGCTCAGCCCAGCTCTTCTCTGTCCTGGCATCCCAATGGTGGAACCAGCTTCCCCCTGAATATAGGACAGCAGAGTCCCTGCCCATCTTCTGAAAACATCTGAAACCCTACATCTTCAAAGAGTATCTTAAATAATCCCACAGCACCTACCTTGCAGTCTACAAATTATGTTCGGGCCCCTTGACCATCCGCTTAAGAGAAAATCGTCCCGCGGCTAAATGTAGTTGATGATCCCTGACCTTTTCAGTAACGGGTGCAATAAATCCAAGTAACAGATTGGATTAGGTTAGAAAAATGTATGTTTTTTATATTTGTGTAGCATAATATTAATTAATCAATTCACATGCAAAAACATAGATATTGAAACAAACAATTCTAAAAATCAACCTGCAATAGAGCATGCTGAGAAACATGATTGTCACGTCTCCTCCCGTTGCTCCCCTCCGGCGCTCTGATTCGCCGGTCTACTGAGCCACCGGTCTGAGCGCACCACCTCGGCAACACCGGAATGGAAACCAAACGCACCCTAATCACTTCCAGCGCACCTGCACCTCATCATCTCATCACCACCCCTATTTAGCCCTGGACTGTTCCTTATTATGTTGTGTGTGATTGTTTAGCTTCGTGTCCTCGATCTTTGTTATTTGTCTTTGTTTAAGTAAACCTTGACCTTGTTCATTCCTGCGTCTGCGTCCTGCCTCTTTGTATACTCAGAACTCGTCACAATGATAATGATGGGTGTGGTTTTGGTTCAACTCTGGTTACTTACACCAACACTGGGGTTCTTTTACACCACTGAGTGTTAATTTAACACTTACAGAGTTCATTTAACTCCTGAATCAACAAAAAAAGAATTACACTGAAAATCAACACTAGGTAACACTGGCCAATTTTCTGTGTGTAGATGGGTTGGGTGACAACATGGGGTGTGGGGTTTGTTTTGGAAGGATGGGGTAAGGGTGAGGTCAGTTGTGGCCCTCACCTCGTTGCACGATGTCCCAAAGGAGTGGGTTGGGTCACAGTCACAGGTCTGGCAGCCCTTTCCACTTCCTATGTTGAACGTATCAGGGGCACAGCGGTCGCAATTCTGGCCAATCACGTTAGGCCGGCAGGGACACTGGCCAGTCTGCAGGTCACAGTGACACTCCCCCGGGGATGGACACGCCTCCGGCGTCGTGCCCACTGAATAACACATACACCCTATAGAGAGAGAGAGAAAGACAGTTACACACACACACACACACACTAACACACACTACAGTCGTGGTCAAAAGTTTGGAAAATGACACAAATATTAATTTTCACAAAGTCTGCTGCCTCAGTTTTTATGATGGCAATTTGCATATACGCCAGAATGTTAGGAAGAGTGATCAGATGAATTGCAAAGTCCCTCTTTGCCATGAAAATGAACTTAATCCCCAAAAAACATTTCCACTGCATTTCAGCCCTGCCACTAAAGGACCAGCTGACATCATGTTAGTGATTCTCTCGTTAACACAGGTGAGAGTGTTGACGAGGACAAGGCTGGAGATCACTCTGTCATGCTGATTGAGTTAGAATAACAGACTGGAAGCTTTAAAAGGAGGATGGTGCTTGAAATCATTGTTCTTCCTCTGTTAACCATGGTTACCTGCAAGGAAACATGTGCCGTCGTCATTGCTTTGCACAAAAGGGCTTCACAGGCAAGGATATTGCTGCTAGTAAGATTGCACCTAAATCAACCATTTATCGGATCATCAAGAACTTCAAGGAGAGAGGTTCAATTGTTGTGAAGAAGGCTTCAGGGCGCCCAAGAAAGTCCAGCAAGCACCAGGACCGTCTCCTAAACTTCATTCAGCTGCGGGATCGGGGCACCACCAGTGCAGAGCTTGCTCAGGAATGGCAGCAGGCAGGTGTGAGTGCATCTGCACGCACAGTGAGGCGAAGACTTTTGGAGGATGGCCTGGTGTCAAGAAGGGCAGCGAGGAAGCCACTTCTCTCCAGGAAAAACATCAGGGACAGACTGATATTCTGCAAAAGGTACAGGGATTGGACTGCTGAGGACTGGGGTAAAGTCATTTTCTCTGATGAATCCCCTTTCCGATTGTTTGGGGCATCTGGAAAAAAGCTTGTCCGGAGAAGAAAAGGTGAGCGCTACCATCAGTCCTGTGTCATGCCAACAGTAAAGCATCCTGAGACCATCAACATTTTGGGTCCATGGCCAGGAAACTCCCCAGACCTTAATCCCATTGAGAACTTGTGGTCGATCCTCAAGAGGCGGGTGTACAAACAAAAACCCACAAATTCTGACAAACTCCAAGCATTTATTATGCAAGAATGGGCTGCCATCTGGATGTGGCCCAGAAGTTTAATTGACAGCATGCCAGGGCGGATATTGACTCTTTGCATAAACTTAATGTAGTTGTCAATAAAAGCCTTTGACACTTATGGAATGCTTGTAATTATATTTCAGTATACCATAGTAACATCTGACAAAAATATATAAAAACACTGAAGCAGCAAACTTTATGAAGACCAATACTTGTGTCATTCTCAAAACTTTTGACCACGACTGTACATATACACACAATGTCTAATTGTACTCACTACTGCAGCTCTGGGTGGCGGCGTTGCCGTAGTAACCCAGCATGCAGCGCTGGCAGCCATAGCCCTCGGTATTGTGCAGGCATTTGAGGCAGACGCCCGTGCGAGCGTCGCAGGACCCCGGGTCCAGCTGGTCGATGTTGTCGTTACACTGGCAGGGCAGACAGCGCCCGCTGGGCACCTGGGGGTTACCATAGTGACCTGGGGCACACTCGTCACACCTGGCTCCTACGGAAGAGAAGGAAAGGTGAATTCAGAACTGTTTACACACACAGACACACACACACACACCTACAGTTATAGATCTGTAAGGAAGTAGAACTGTCCATAGGCTGCAGTGTTTAGTATAGAGCAGTCATGGCATAGTTGTAAACACTCATAAAACAGTTGTAGAACAATCGTAAACAGTCGTAAACAGTTACAGGCAGTGGACTGGCCTCCTGTTCCAGTGAGAGAGGTATCTGTGGGGTTTCTCACACACTCACTGTCCCTGTAGTTACTACCTGCCCATTATGACCAAGAGCAGAGGGGATTCTGCTAGCGCTGTAATTACAGGGGAAATGTGTACTAGGACTGGGAGAACAATGTGTGACGTGGTGTGTGTGTGCATGTGCGCATGCATATGTGTGTGTGTGTGTGTGTGCGGTATGTGTGTGTGTGTGGGTGGGTGTAAGTGTGTAAGTGTGCATGTCTGTAAGTGTGCATATGTGTGTATCTAACCTCTGTATCCGGGGCTGCAGATACAGACCAGCTGGTAGTTGTTAGCGGTCTGGTAGCAGCCGTCTGCGTACTGGCGTCCGCTCCCCGGCCCGTCGGGACACATGCAGGGGCGGCAGTGACCCCCCAAACCCAACACTGGGTCGCCATGGTAACCATCCAGACACCTGTAGGCACGGGATAAGACATGACAAGAGGTACGGAAAACACTCCCATACACACACACAAACACGCTTGGTACTGATAAGAGTGAAATATGCAGTTGTGCCCTACACTGTGGTTTGGTGTGTGGCACAGTTGAAGTCAGAAGTTTACATACACCTTAACCAAATACATTTAAACTCAGTTTTTCACAATTCCTGACATTTAATCCTAGTAAAAATTCCCTGTCTTAGGTCAGTTAGGATCACCACTTTATTTTAAGAATGTGAAATGTCAGAATAATAGTCAGAATAATAATTATTTATTTCAGCTTTTATTTCTTTCATCACATTCCCAGTGGGTCAGAAGTTTACATACACTCAATTAGTATTTGGTAGCATTGCCTTTAAATTGTTTAACTTGGGTCAAACGTTTTGGGTAGCCTTCCACAAGCTCCCCACAATAAGTTGGGTGAATTTTGGCCCATTCCTCCTGACAGAGCTGGTGTAACTGAGTCAGGTTTGTAGGCCTTGAGATGTTGCTTCAATATATCCACATAATTTTCCTTCCTCATGATGCCATCTATTTTGTGAAGTGCACCAGTCCCTTCTGCAGCAAAACACATTTTACATTTACATTTTAGTCATTTAGCAGACGCTCTTATCCAGAGCGACTTACAGTTAGTGAATACATATTTTTTTTATACTGGCCCCCCGTGGGAATCGAACCCACAACCCTGGCGTTGCAAAAGCCATGCTCTATCAACTGAGCTACATCCCTGCCGGCCATTCCCTCCCCTACCCTGGACGACGCTGGGCCAATTGTGCGCCGCCCATGAGTCTCCCGGTCACGGCCGGCTGCGACAGAGCCTGGATTCGAACCAGGATCTAGTGGCACAGTTAGCACTGCGATGCAGTGCCTTAGACCACTGCGCCACTCAGGAGACAACACCCCCACAGCATGATGCTGCCACCCCCGTGCTTCACAGTTGGGATGGTGTTCTTCGGCTTACAAGCATCCCCTTTTTCCTCCAAACATAACGATGGTCATTATGGCCAAACAGTTAGATTTTTGTTTAATCAGACCAGAGGACATTTCTCCAAAAAGTACGATCTTTGTCCCCATGTGCAGTTGCAAACCGTAGTCTGGCTTTTTTATGGCGGTTTTGGAGCAGTGGCTTCTTCCTTGCTGAGCGGCCTTTCAGGTTATGTCGATATAGGTCTCGTTTTACTGTGGATATAGATACTTTTGTACCTGTTTCCTCCAGCATCTTCACAAGGTCCTTTGCTGTTGTTCTGGGATTGATTTGCACTTTTCGCACCAAAGTACGGTCACCTCTAGGAGACAGAACGCGTCTCCTTCCTGAGCGGTATGATGGCTACGCGGTCCCATGGTGTTTATAGTTGCGTACTATTGTTTGTACAGATGAACGTGGTACCTTCAGGCGTTTGGAAATTGCTCCCAAGGATGAACCAGACTTGTGGAGGTCTAGAAATTTTTTTCGGAGGTCTTGGCTGATTTATTTTGCAAAGAGGCACTGAGTTTGAAGGTAGGCCTTTAAATACATCCACAGGTACACCTCCAATTGATTCAAATGATGTCAATTAGCCTATCAGAGTCTTCTAAAGCCATGACATCATTTCCTGGAATCTTCTAAGCTGTTTAAAGGCACAGTCAACTTAGTGTATGTAAACTTCTGACCCACTGGAATTGTGATACAGTGAATTATAAGTGAAATAATCTGTCTGTAAACAATTGTTGGAATAATTACTTGTGTCATGCACAAAGTAGATGTCCTAACCGACTTGCCAAAACTATAGTTTGTTAACAAGTAATTTGTGGAGTGGTTGAAAAACGAGTTTTAATGACTGTTTATTAGCTAGCTAATATTTTAATGTGGTATATGGTATAATTTCACACAGTACCTTTCACACATGTGCCCGGTGGTGAAGGCTCGGCAGCCCTGGCACTCCCCAGTCTGAGGGTGGCAGTAGTCGCTGTTGCCGTTGCACTGGCAGGCCTGGCATTGAGGGAAGCCCCAGTAGCCTGGCAGGCAGTGGGCACACTGACGCCCCGACGCCCCTGGTACACACTCACACTGACCTGTGGCCTCGTGGCAGAAAGCGTTTACAGAGCCCATAGGACTACACTCACAGGCTGGGGAGAGAGGAGGGAGGGGAGGGAGGGGTGGGAGGGAGTAATAGGGAGAGGGAGAGGGGAAGGAGGGGTGGAAGAGAGGGGAAAAAGAGGAAGAAGATAGGGGGGGAGAAATAGTGAGAAAGGGATTTAAAATACCACACTTTTGAAGTCGGAATCTCAACCCAAGTCTTAACATAACTCTCCCCCTGATCTTTAACCTCTAACCCCTGACCCCATGCTTGTCTGTCACTCACGCCTGCATCCTGAGGGGCTGAACAGGAAGGTGGCGGGGGCACAGCGGTCACAGTTCCTGCTCGCCACGTTGGGCCGACACTGGCACTGCCCGCCGCTGGGGTCGCACACCGCACTGAGAGAGCCCTGGGAATCACACTGGCACGCTACAGAGAATAAGGGAGAAAGGGGGGAGAGGAGAGGAGAAGAGGGAGGAGGGAAGATGTGGGAGAGAGAGAGAGAGGAATGCAGCAATGTGAGTTATTGTTGCTGTTGTTGTTGTTGCTGTATGAGTACAAGGAATGCTTCAGGAAGAAAATGATTGTTTACTAATGATAAACATGCACTCACACACACACACACACACAAACATACAGACAACCCCCCCCCCCCCCCTCCACCGAACCCTACACACACACAGTCCCCCCAGCCCAATCTCCTACCCATAGCCCCCTGGTGTAGCAGGGCAGACACGCTGAAGATGTAGTCTTTACAGATGTCTGTCATGGGGCTCTTGATGACGCTCTGGCTGCTCTCCAGACAGCGGTACCTCTGGAACGTATCCCACGCCCCCTCACCCTGAGAACCCTCAAACAACTCCAGCTCACGCACCCGCGGAATCAGCACCAACTAGAGGGAGAGAGAGGGGAGGAGGGGAGTAAGGAAGAGATATATAAAGACAGAGGGCTTGTCTTAGAGATACTACAAGTCTGTTATTCCACACTACATTGACAATATCATGACTACTGTAGGGATGTTTTCCATACTGACTCGTGTGTGTCTGTGTCTGTTACTGGAAACTACAGTTTATCAGAATGTATGGAGCGTGGTTTGTAACTGTTACTTACGGAGTCGATGAGTGTGTAGGGGCTTTGGACGTCACTGAGAGAGGAGTAGAGACGCAGACTGAGACGCATTGTGTAGTTCAGCCCCTTCTCCAGACACACAGGCCTCGGGAGCACCACATGTCTGACACACACACAGAGGAGAGTAAGGTGTATGGTTGGAACGGTAGAGGTGGTGTGTGGGTGTGTGTTTGTGTGTGTAAAGTTGGTGTATGAAGGTGGAGGTAGGGGTGTATTGTAGGGACTAGGAGATGTGTGTCACTTGGGTACCTACCTGGATCCTGGAGGAAGAGACACCGACTGCTGATCTCCTCCTGGTAGCGTGTTTTCACATGGACTGACTGGCTGTCCCACTCTCTTTGAGTAAGGACGTATCACTCTGATCTCCACCTGCTCCCACTGCTCCGGGAACTACAGCAACACATGCACCACACATCAGACACACAATATCACACGTTGCAGACAGTAGAGAAAACTGTGTGTTAGTCTGTGTGTATGTGTGTGTGTTTGCATGTTCATATACGTGTGTGTGTATATGTCCGTGTGTGTGTGTGTGTTTGTGTGTGTGTGTGTGTGTGTGTGTGTTTTACCTGTGGTTCATAGCGGATCAGCATGTCGTAGTCCATGGAGTCAGGTATGTTGTTGATGTGGAACTCCAGGTGGGCTCCCTCAGGTACATTGACAAACCCTGCCCCTGTCCAGGTAGGACTACGGTCCAGAGGATAGGGCCTGGGAACCACTGTCACACCCTGAGAGGGAGGGAGGGAGAGAGAAAGAGAGATATGACAGATTTAGAAAGACAGAGACAGAGAGATTGAAAGCGAGAGGTCAACACACACACTCACAGGGCCGTGCTTGGCGTCCTCAGCCTCATAGGTGTAGTGGTCCAGGGCGATGAAGTAGAATCCTGACTCCACCTGGTCACAACGCCTCCCATACATGTGTCCTCTACACTGACACTGGCCTGATATTGGAGAACAACTAGAGATGGAGGGAAAGAGAGGGGGAGGAAGAGAGACAGACAGGGGGGACAATAGAGGGGAGAGAGATAAATAGGGAGAGCAACAGAATGAGGAAAACTGATTGTTAGTAAATATCCAATACCTACAAATACATTCTGCAACAATGCATTTTGGGCGGGGTGGAATTAGGAAGAGTAGTTGTGCTGTGATTAGATCATATGAGTAGAGACATGATGTGATTGGTTAAAACATACTCATTGTTAACGGCTCCGCCCTGGTCGCAGTCACATGGTCTGCAGCCGTCCATGTCATTACTCAGCCCCCAGTGTTGCGGCTGCAGGAAAGAAAGAACAGAGTTATAAATAAACACACACACACACTGCAGACACACAGTGATGTGGTCGATAAGTCCCTCACCAGACACTGGTCACAGTTCCTGCCGGTGACAAGGCGTTTGCAGAAGCAGTTTCCTGTGTCCATGTCACATGGGCTTCCCCCAGGCAGCGTACCCAGGGGGTTACAGGTACACTCTGCCAAAAACACACACACATATCAAATAAACAATGAGAGACAAGAAGATAGGAGTGTGTGAGTGTGTGCGCGTCTGTGCGTGTGTGTGTGTTAGTGTGTGTATTAGACTCACGCAGGCAGCCGTTTGGTCCCTGTCCCAGGCCGTAGTGTCCCTGTCTACAGTGGTCGCAGCGCTCTCCCTCCACACTGGCCTTACAGCGACACTGTCCTGCTATCAGACCAGCAGACACGTCTGTCCTGCCGTCACACACCCCACCCTGCAGGGAGCCCGCCGGGTCACAGCTACACGCTACAGACAGAGGGAGAGAGGGAGGGAGGTGAGTGAGAGAAAAATACATAGAAGGAATGTAGGGGGACAGGATGGGTGAGAGGGAGTTGAAGGAGAAAGAAACAGAAAGAGTTTGGGGAGGGTATTGGAGAGGGAGACAGGTGAAGGAGCGAGAGAGAACAGAGACTCCAACAGTAAATTCAGACTGTTAAGTTCAGAGACAGAGATCAAAGGGAGAGTTGAGAGTTGAAACTTGACAGGTCTGAGGTCATCGGTGAGGCCAGCAAACTCCTGGCCCTTGTCGTAGGTCACAGACAGACGTTGACGTACGTTCACAGATGTTGGGGTCTCTCAAGTGTCTTTCGGGGTGCTGGTAGTAGAAGGGTCTGCACTGCTCACACTGACGCCCCATGGTGTTGTGTTGACACTCATTACACACTCCTCCACTCACGTTCCCCGTAGACAGATACACAGCCATGTCAAAGTGACATGACCTGGAGTGGTAGTTACACTCGCACACTGGGAGAAGGAGAGAGAGACAGAGAGAGAGTTAGAGAGATGGAGAAGGGCGAGGGGGGCCGAGAGAGAGAGAGAAAAATAGAGAATATTTTGTTTAAACATATTTTGCACTTCAAAAGACTACCAACAGGACGGAATGATGTTGAATATTTTTTATATATCTGGAACAGAATGATCCAGACTCTGTATATATACATTTACATTACATTTACGTCATTTAGCAGACGCTCTTATCCAGAGCGACTTACAAATTGGTGCATTCACCTTATGATAGCCAGTGGGACAACCACTTTACAATTAATTTTTTTCTAATGTTTTAAATCTTAATTTTTAGAGTATATTTATAATTTTCATTTGTTTTATGATGAGCTGTGTAGTGCTAGGGCAGAAACCAAAATATGAACCTGAGTTTGGGAAACCCGGCTCTAGATGACCCATTGATAAAGCCATCACCTGCTGCTTATGTTATGTGGGCAGCTTGTCTCTCCCTTTTCTGTTTCCCTTCCTCCTTGTTTTGTCCCCTCTTTGTCTGTTGTATCTGTATGTGTGTTTGTCCCCATTATGTTGGTGCGTCTGCCGGTGTGTGTCTGGAGTGGATCAGGGGGCGTGCTCAGGATCTGCCTCTCCTGTGCAGCTGCGGGTTGTTTCCAGTGATTCCTGCCTACGCAGCTGCATCCTATTCTCTCATCAACCTGCACTACTAATTCCTGGGCATGGCTCTCCACCGGCGCCAGATCGTTGTTCTTACTAGAGCGGTAACTTGGCTCACCAGTAGAGTTAAATTGTCTTTGTCTTCAGCCTGGCTCTTTACTCTCCTTAACCTGTCGTTTGTTTTGTCTTCAGTTCAGACATACCTCCCAACCTTCCTTCCTGCCTGCCTGCCTGCCTGCCTGCCTCAGCCTCTCCTTCCTCCGGAGCCGACTAGCCCACTCTGTTCCTTTTCTTCAGTTGTTTTTTGGACTAGGACAAATTGAACTTTTATTAAAAGCATTTTTGTTTCTTCCACTCCCTTAGTCGTGTTTTGTTTCTCTGAGTGCTGGGTTTAACCATAGCCTAACAGAACGATCTGGCCCTGGACCCAACAGAGAAACAGCACGGGGCAAACAAAGACAGCTTCCAACAAGCTATCCAGGCTCAAGGAACGTTGCTAGGACAGCATGACCAATTGATTCGGACTCTTTTGGAAAATAATCATCAACTGCTGAACCAGGTGACTCAGTTAACAACACAAGTCTCTAAATTGTCTGTTATCAGTTCTCCATCTCTCTCTGACCCCCAGTTTGATGCACCCCAAGTTGTTTCCTCGGACATTATGCAGGCTTCGTTCCATCGGGAACCCCCTGTCACGTCGCCTGAACCGTTCAATGGTGAATTGGACAAGTGCCTGGGATTTTTGCTTCAGTGTGACTTGATTTTTCGGCAGAGACCACTGTCGTTTTCTACTGATTCCTCTAAGGTACATTATGTTCTGGGGCTGTTAAGAGGGAGAGCTCTGGTTTGGGCTGAGGCTGTGTGCTCAAATCAAACTTTGACTGGATTGACTTTTGCTGATTTTTCTGCTAAATTGAAGACTGTTTTTGACCATCCTGACCATGTGGGTAATTCCTCCAAGAGACTTTTTAATTTGAGGCAGGGTTCTAACAGTGTGGCTGAGTACTCTATTGAGTTCTGGACTTGGGCAGCGGACTCCAAGTGGAACAATGTGGCACTTCAAGGAGCATTTCTAAACGGTTTGAATGAAGCCATTAAGGATGAACTGGCTGCTCGTGACGAGCCACATGATTTACTTTCTCTCGTTTCCCTGTCCATTAAGCTAGACAACCGGTTGCGGGAGAGGCGTCGGGAGAGAGGCGGTCGGCCACATCTAGGAGGACGAGTTCCCCAGCCTTCAACCACTCGAGTCTCGCCTCCCCGGAGCCGGCAGCTTCTTGTTCCTGATCCCATCCCGAGCACAGAGGAGGAACCAATGCAAGTGGGTTGAGCTCGACTACCTCCAGCAGAGCGGTAACGGCGCCTCCAGGCGGGTGAGTGCCTGACTGTGGAGACGCCACACACATTCTGGCTACATGCCCTAAGCGACCAAAAGACAAGGCTCGCTCGTAACGGTGGGTCTACTTGCGAGCCGAGAGTTCGATCCGGAACCCATCATTCCCCGATTATAAGTACCTGTAACCTTACGTTTCCAGAGTCATTCCCTGCCACTCTCAGCTCTCATAGACTCAGGTGCAGAAGACAACTTTATTAGCCACCAGTTCGTTACACAAGCTCGTATCCCCGTGGAGCCACTACCTACCCCCATTCGAGTCACAGCCCTTGATGGGCGCCTCCTCGCGGAGATAACTCATCAAACCACCCCCGTTTCCCTAGTGATTTCAGGCAATCATGGTGAAAGCATTCAGTTAAGAGTTAGGTCTGGCTCAGCTACCCCCCTAATCCTTGGCTTCCCCTGGTTGGCTCTTCACAACCCACAAATTGATTGGACACGTCACACCATTCTCAGTTGGAGCACTAACTGCCATTCAGAGTGCCTTAGGTCAGCGGTTCCCCCCACTAAGTGTAACCCAACTCATCCCTCAGCTCCTCCCGATCTGTCATCTGTCCCCAAAGAATACCATGACTTAGCTGAGGTTTTCAGTAAGGACAAGGCTCTGTCTCTACCACCACATAGGCCTTATGATTGCCCTATTGAACTGCTTCCTGGTGCTCCCTTGCCCTCTAGTCGCTTATACAATCTGTCCCGACCGGAAAGAGAGGCAATGGAGCAGTATATTGGTGATTCTCTGGCCTCGGGCATAATCCGTCCCTCGTCGTCTCCTTTGGGTGCTGGTTTCTTTTTCGTTGAAAAGAAAGACAAGTCGTTACGCCCCTGTATCGATTTCAGGGGTTTAAACAACATAACTGTTAAAAACAAGTATCCCCTTCCACTCATCAACTCAGCTTTTGAACCTCTGCATGGCGCCACAGTTTTCTCCAAGCTCGACCTCAGGAACGCTTATCACCTTGTCAGAATCCGAAAGGGAGATGAGTGGAAAACCGCTTTCAACACTCCACTGGGGCATTTTGAGTATTTGGTCATGCCCTTTGGGCTCTCAAACGCCCCTGCTGTATTCCAAGCCATGGTGAACGATGTTCTTAGGGATTTTTTGAACCGTTTTGTCTTTGTATACCTGGATGATATTATTGTTTTTTCCAAGTCACCCGAGGAGCATGAGTCACACGTCCGTCAAGTCCTTCAACGGCTCTTGGAGAATAAGCTGTACGTCAAAGCAGAAAAGTGAGTTCCACAAACAGTCTACATCGTTCCTTGGTTTCATCTTTGAGAGCGGGCAGGTGAAGGCGGACCCCGAGAAGATCCGGGCAGTGACGGAATGGCCCACACCCACCACCCGTAAGCAACTTCAACAATTTTTGGGCTTTGCTAACTTCTACCGTAGATTCATTGAGGGTTTTAGTAAAGTGGTGGCACCCCTTACTAGACTCACATCCCCAAAAGTCCCTTTTCTGTGGTCCCCTGAGGCGAAGCAGGCGGTAGGGGTTTTGAAGGAACTGTTTTCCACCTCCCCCGTGTTGATACACCCCAATACCTCTCTGCAGTTTATTGTGGAGGTGGACGCGTCTGACTCAGGTGTGGGAGCAGTCCTCTCCCAGCGCTCCCCCACTGACCAAAAGCTTCACCCCTGTGCTTTTTTCTCCAAGAAATTGTCACCCACAGAACGGAATTACGACGTTGGAAACCGGGAACTGCTGGCGGTCAAGCTAGCACTGGAAGAATGGCGGCACTGGCTGGATGGAGCTGAACTGCCGTTTGTGGTCTGGACAGACCACAAAAACTTGGCTTACATCCAAGCCACTAAGAGACTCAACTCACGCCAAGCCAGATGGGCCCTGTTTTTTAGTAGGTTTAACTTTATTCTAACATACAGACCGGGGTCAAGAAATGTTAAACCAGATGCTTTGTCCCGCCAGTTTGCTGACCCTTCGGAGACCAGCGAGCCTGAGGCAGTCCTACCTTCCTCATGCGTCGTGGCGGCAGTACAGTGGGAGATCGAGTCTCTTGTGAAGACTGCACTTGCCACGGACCCGGGACCGGGTGATGGACCTCCCAACCTGCTCTTTGTTCCCGAGACGGTCCGGTCTCAGGTGTTGCAGTGGATTCACACCTCCCGTTTTGCTGGTCACCCTGGGAGTCCATCGTTAACCCCGCTGCGGTTCATTTGAAGTTGCCTTCAGCCATGAAGATACACCCTACTTTCCACGTCTCCCAACTGAAACCTGTGTCCTCCAGCCTTTTGTGTCCGCCGGCAGATCCACCTCCACCTGTTCGCCTCATTGACGACCATCCGGCCTACACCGTCAGTAGGCTCCTGGACTCTCGGAGGCGGGGTAGGGGTCTCCAATACCTAGTCGATTGGGAAGGTTATGGACCTGAGGAGAGGTCTTGGGTCCCTAAGCGTTTTGTGTTGGATCCTCAGCTGATCACGGACTTCCATCACGACAACCCTGACAGGCCTGGTGGGTCGCCAGGTGGCGACCATTGAGGGGGGGGTACTGTTATGTGGGAAGCTTGTCTCTCCCTTTTCTGTTTCCCTTCCTCCTTGTTTTGTCCCCTCTTTGTCTGTTGTATCTGTATGTGTGTTTGTCCCCATTATGTTGGTGCGTCTGCCGGTGTGTGTCTGGAGTGGATCGGGGGGCGTGCTCAGGATCTGCCTCTCCTGTGCAGCTGCGGGTTGTTTCCAGTGATTCCTGCCTACGCAGCTGCATCCTATTCTCTCATCAACCTGCACTACTAATTCCTGGGCATGGCTCTCCACCGGCGCCAGATCGTTGTTCTTACTAGAGCGGTAACTTGGCTCACCAGTAGAGTTAAATTGTCTTCGTCTTCAGCCTGGCTCTTTACTCTCCTTAACCTGTCGTTTGTTTTGTCTTCAGTTCAGACATACCTCCCAACCTTCCTGCCTGCCTGCCTGCCTGCCTGCCTGCCTGCCTCAGCCTCTCCTTCCTCCGGAGCCGACTAGCCCACTCTGTTCCTTTTCTTCAGTAGTTTTTTGGACTAGGACAAATTGAACTTTTATTAAAAGCATTTTTGTTTCTTCCACTCCCTTAGTCGTGTTTTGTTTCTCTGAGTGCTGGGTTTAACCATAGCCTAACAGCTTATCTATTGCATCATATTTTCAAACAGCCTATGAAATATGATGCAATAGATAGAAAGGAAAACTGCCTGAAGGCCAGGGTATCAGGCCAGGATATTATGTACATTTACAATGAAGGTTACTGAATGTTTATGTCCATTAGAGAGAATGGTAAATGGTAGTTCATGTGTCAAGACAAATAAATGCAGTTCAAAAGAAAATTCTATATAAAGTGCAGCTGCTGCAGCTTTCAATACTGTGGTGGAGTAAAAGCACTGTATTTGAAAGTTATTATGGATGTTGCCTCTATCAGATCAGGGTGGCATGTCTCCTTCTATGACCATGGCGTGGTCCTGATAGAAATATGCTGTATAGAACATACTGTACAGATCCTCTTCTGTACATCCCTCTGCAAGGTTCTTTGAATAAGGAAGTCTCAAAACAACACCCACAAACGGAGAGAGAGTGGGAGCCTTGTGGTTGCTTTAGCTCAAGTAAAACTACACAAATACATGTATCAAAATGAACGAGTGTCAACATATATGGATTCCATCAACCACCACAACACCCCCATATTGTCTGATATATCTGGCACAGTGTGATCAGTGTGTGTGTGTGTGTGTGTAAGTATCTCACTCTTGCAGGCATTGGTGTTGCGTCCCTCTGCAGGCCTCCAGGGCAGGTCATTGTAGAAGTCCTTACAGTGCTCACAGTTCAGACCTTCTGTGTTGTGGTTACACATACAGTGACCATGGACCTGGATACACACACACAAACAAACACACATAAACACACACAAACACACACAGAGAGAGCGAGAGAGAGAAACACTAGTGTTAGAGGCGCTAGTACCAAATACTTGAGAAAAACTACTACTTGAGCCATTTCCCTCTTAACGGTCACACAACCTGTTAGGAGAATGTGTGTATGTTGTGTGTGTATGATGTATCGCGTGTGTGTGCGTCTATGTTTCACTCACCATGCCCTCTGTGCTTACATGTATCCCATCTACAGGGGCACATTTAGAAGCATGTCCGTAGCAGAAGCAGTTGCCGCGGACGACCATGTCAAAGAGGGAGTAGTAGTATTTCTCTGTGACCTCGTCTCTGGAGTCCAGCAGGTTGTCACCCAGTGTGTGGAGCTTAGTAAACTGGACACGCAGGTTAGTGATCTTCAGCATGTCTACACACACATATGGAGACACATACACAAAGAATCAGGATAAATGCACACGTATTACCATTCTAATGTAATGGCCCATCTAAAACAGCAGTGGTACGTTATAGGAATGTTTCTATAGGTTACTGTGTCTTTATATTAGGTTCTGGATCTTCTCCAAGCTCGTCTCTACGACCTCTGACCCTAAAGATGTGGGATCCTCCTTCTGAAGGCTCCATACACCCTACACACACATTCACTACATACTTAACATGAGGGGCCCTCTGTGTAAGTGTGTGTGTGTGAGTATGGGCGAGTTTGGGTATGAATGAGGCCCTAAAGTTTGTGTGTGTGTGTGTGTGCGCGAGAGAGTGTGAGTCTGGCTACTGTCTCAGTCCACAAGCTGAGGGGTGTGTGTGTGTGTGTGTGTGTGTGTATGTGTGTGTGTGTGTGTAGCTTCTACATGTGAAATTCCATAAGAGGTACCCGGATAACCTGACCTCTAACCCCTGCCCTGCTGTGTTGCCTTGACTACTGCCACTAGTCAGAATGGTTTGTTGCAGTACTAACTGGATCGTATTTAGCTAATGAGATATGCCACCTCTGGCCTGGTGTTGTACTGTAGTTACAGCACTTACTCTGTATCCTGGGACTGTAAGGGTCTTCAATCTCAAACGCTGGGTCCAGCACCCTGAATATCACCTGATAGAGAGGGGGAGAGGGGGATGGAGAGAAGGATTGTAAAAATAAAAGTTAACTAGGTTATAAACCAATGAGAGATTAACTCTGAAGCATTCTGGAGCCACATATTCTACCCCCTCCATTGCAAAAGCACAAAGGCCACACAGATGCACACCTCTCCCTCTGTGGATGGCTCTATGTCAGAGTAGCGGGAGTCACAGATGACGTCGTCCACTTTGACCAATGGTCCCACGGATATCCCAGGGAAGGCGGACTCACAGTCGTAGCTATAGTAACGGTACACTTGCCACTTCTTTCCAAAATCCATGGAACGCTCGATCACCATGGTGGCCGGACGGAACGTCTATCAATCAAAGAGATCATTCTAATTCGTAACACAGAAATTCAACAAATATAAAGGAATAGTTTCTTGACCACGTGACCCGACCAGGGAAAACTCTGGGTCCTAATATTATAACACAGAAAGAAAGAAAGAGAGAGAATGAGAACAAGAATGAAAGAGAGAGGAGAGTCCAGACCAGAGACAGAAACAGAGATACATTGAGGGTTCTAAAGGCAGCTGGAGAGACTCAATACTGATGCCAGCAGTACTGAGTATAGTGTTTTACAGCAGCCCTCTCTCCCATCCATCTCAAGAGACTAGGGCGATTTTCCACATACCTCGAACACAGCTGTGAGTGTGTGTGTGTGTGTGTGTGTGTGTGTGTGTGTGTGTGTGTGTGTGTGTGTGTGGCCACCTTAAAGGTCATGATGAGATGTGTGAAGTGGAACTCAGCTTCCAGGTTCAGTTGAATGGTCACATTCTCCACACCTGCAGCACAGGGAAACAAACACACAACACACACTGAGACAGACATCCCATTATAGACATATCCTGCTTTACACATTAGTGAGTCTGCCAAAATCTCTGCTAACACACACACACAGGAAATGGGATGATTGGCCGTGTCAATTTGACCATGTCAATTGGTCTTTCAGCCACATCCATGTGACTAATTGATCCGTTGCCGTGGTAACATGTGCGTAGTGGGACCTCATATGAACTAATGCAGTGGGATAAGGAAATCCCAACCCCTGCTTTTCTGTGTTTCGTCCTCCCTGGTATTGCCGGACCATCTGGGCATCTGGCTGCGGTTCCTTCCATGACTCAACAACAATGGACACTTTATCCTCCCCATTAATAAACAAACCCACTGAGTGTGAGTGTGTGTGTTCGTCTGTGCATGGGCTATGTGAGTCTGTGATAGTGTTACAATTGTGTGTGTGTGTATGTGGGAAAGCCAGTCCAGTTCCCATGCTCTCAGACAAGAATACCTCAGTCTCTTATTATGTTGTCCAGTTGCAAGTATGTATGCGAGGGAATGTGTGTGCGTGTGTGTATTACAGGGAACAATGCGGTCATGTCGTGTTGGCAGTGTTGATATACAGCTGTGTCTAACACCTGTTCACTTGAGCATACCTGTATGTCCTCTGCCCTGAAGCCTGCTCTGATTGGCTGAGCTGTGTTGCTCTGTGATCTGCTCTACTAACCGTACCGCCCCCTGTTCCCATGAGAACACATTTAGCACACTCTCACACACTGACCATTCTCGCACAGCTGGACTTCACCATGACACACACACATGTGCACACATGTTTGTTTTACTATCCTTGTGGGGACCAAACAATTGATTCCCATTCAAAATCCTATTTTCCTAACCCTAAACATAACCCTAAACCTTAACCTAACCCTAACCCTATTTGTTTATTTTGATTCCCATTAGCTTTTGCAGAAGCAGCAGTTACTCTTCCTGGGGTTCACAAAAAACACAAAACATGACAAGTAACAAAACACTGATAGACGAGGACAGTCACACAATGATATACAAACAAAACAACAAAGAAATAATACAAACAATACAACAAAAATGATGTGTGTGTTAGAGTGTGTCTGTGTGTGTGTGTGTTTGTCCCCTCATAGTCCCTGCAGTTCCATGAGTTGTTGTTTAATAAATTTTTTAAAGATCATTTTGCTGTTTGCTTGAGTAATTGGAGATGGAAGGGAGTTCCATGCGATCATGGCTCTGTATAAAACTATGCATTGCCGTCAATTTGTTTTGGACTTGGGGACAGTGAAGAGACCCCTGGTGGCATGTCTTGTAGGGTATGTATGGGTGTCTGAGCTGAATGTTATTTGATTATGCAGACAATCTGGCATTTTCGTCACAGTAATATTTCTTATAAAAACTAGAAGAGAAGCAGTTAATCTCTCGTCAACCATGAACCAGGAAAGACTGCCATGCATGTTGTTGATGTTAGTTCTGTATGTTCAGTTAAGGGCAAGGTGTGCTGCTTTGTTTTGATCCAGCTGCAGCTTTGCTAGGTCTTTCTTTGCTGCACTTGACCATATTACTGGACAGTAATCAAGACGGGACAAGACCAGAGCCTGAACAACTAGTACAGTTGATTTGTGTCAAAAACGCAGAACATCTTTTTATAACAGACATACCCCTCCCCATCTTCACAACAACGTTGTCAATATGACTTTTTCCACCTCTCCCACAATAACTTGACCAAATTCAAAAAAGCAATCCTTCGCTTTCATTATTAGATCTTTTATACAAAAATATGATGGTTCACTGTTCAATGTTGTCATTTCACTTCTGAGTTTTTCCACTTTACTAGTGAAATAGTCATTGAAATGATTGTCAATATCGAAAGGTTTTGTTATAAATTACCCATCAACTTCAATGAACAATGGAGATGTATTGGGTTTCTGCCCATGAAATAATTTAAGGTACTCCAAAGTATTTTTCCATTGAATTTTATGTCAATTATCTTTGGTTGGTGATATCATTTCTTCTTTTTGTGAAGTTTAGTCACAACATTTATCAATTTACAGTATGTCAACGACTTTGTATGATCTCTTATAAATTACTTTAGGCCCAACCTTTGGCACGTTGGTTTTCCTTGTTATTGCCACAATGTTATGATCACTACAGCCAATGGAAACTGATATTGCTTTGGATGTCACAGATCCAACACTATTGGTATGCACTCCAGTTGGTTGAGCGATAACCCGGGTCATATTACAGGCATTAGTCACAGTTAGAAGCTTCCTCTTGAGAGGACAGCTAGTTGCTAACCAGCCAATGTTCTGGTCACCCAGAAAATAGACCTCTCTGTTAACATCACACACATTATAAAGCATAACACACACATATTATCCAAATACTGACTGTTAGCACTTAGTGGCCTATAGCGGCACCCCAAAAGAAGAGGCTTTAGATGAGGCAGGTGAACATGCAACCACAACACTTCCAGAACATTTGACATGAGATCTTCACTAAGCTTTACCGGAATATGGCTCTGAACATAAAGTATACAGCAACACCTCCCCCATAGGCATTCCGTCTTTTCCATAGTTACAGTATAAGCCTATATTGCTACTGCTGTATCATCTAAGAAATTATCTAAGTGAGTTTCAGAGATGGCCAGTATATGAATGTTATCCGATGTTAGCAAGTTATTGATTGCATGAATCTTATTTCTAAGGCTACATACACTGAGTGTACAAAACATTAGGAACATTGCGAGCTCTTTCCATGACATAGACTGACTATGTGAATCCAGGTGAAGGCTATGATCCCTTATTGATGTCACTTGTTAAATCCACTTCAATCAGTGTAGATGAAGGGTAGGAGACAGGTTAAAGAAGGATTTTAAAGCCTTGCTGGGTTTTTCACGCTCAACAGTTTCTGTGATTTATTTAGAATTCAAGGCACACTTAACCAGCATGGCTACCACAGCATTCTGCAGCGATACGCCTGTCACGTTTGTCATAATGATTGGACCAAGGCGCAGCGTGATATGCGTACATCTTTTTAATAGTGTACTGGCAACACGATACAAAATACAAAACAACCAAACGAAACGTGAAGTCCTCGGTTAACAACACAAACCAACACGGAACAAGATCCCACAAAAGACAAGTGCACAACAGGCTGCCTAAGTATGGTTCCCAATCAGAGACAACAAGACACAGCTGTCTCTAATTGGGAACCACCCCGGCCAACATAGAAACACTTAAACTAGATCGTGAACATAGAAAATGAAACATAGACACTACACAAAGAAACTAACACCCTGGCTCAACATACAAGAGTCCCCAGAGCCAGGGCGTGACAACGCCATCCCATATGGTTTGGGCTTAGTGGGACTATCATTTGTTTTTCAACAGGACAATGACCCAACACATCTCCAGGCTGTGTAAGGGCTATTTTACCAAGAAGGAGAGTGATGGAGTGCTGCATCAGATGACCTGGCCTCCACAATCCCCCAACCTCAACCCAATTGAGATGGTTCAGGATGAGTCAGACGGCAGAGTGAAGGAAAAGCAGCCAACAAGTGCTCAGCATATGTGGGAACTCCTTTAAGACTGTTGGAAAAGCATTCCAGGTGAAGCTGGTTGAGAGAATGCCAAGAGCGTGCAAAGCTGTCATCAAGGCAAAGGGTGGCTATTTGAAGAATCTCAAATATAAAATATTTAGATTTGTTTAACACTTTTTTGGTTACTACATGATTCCATATGTGTTATTTCATAGTTTTGATGTCTTCACTATTATTCTACAATGTAGAAAATAGTACAAATAAAAACCTGGAATGAGTAGGTGTGTCCAAACTTTTGACTGATACTGTATGTGTGTGTGTGATGTTGGGCTGAAGCTACTGGCTCTGAAGCTTGGCTCTCTCATTCCTCCCAAGCTTTTGGGAGGGAGGGAGGACAATGAGCCTGTTGTAGTTGATGTAAGCAATGTTCCCATGCTGTATGGCAGCTTTCATAGCTGGGATAAGTTATTTCCGCCTCTGGCGCACAGGTTCAGAGAAGTCCTCTTTGAGGAATATGTTGGTTCCTCTCAAGTTCTTGGCTCTCTGCAGAACAGCCATCTTGTCCTTAAACCTCAGGAACTTGACCACTATCAGCCTGGGTCTGTCACCTGGGCTGATTACAAACGTTTAAAGTTACATGTTTTCCAGACCTGTGGGCGTACTCCACCTCAATCTCCGTATGATAAATCTGTAGCTTTTCAGTGATAATTTTTCATACTTTCTCCTCAGACTCGATCCAGTTCTCTTGTGAAGACTCTGGTATGCCATCCACAACAATGGTATTCCTCCTGGATTGTCCCCATAAATAGTCTGTTTTCCCAGTCATTGTTAATAATGATTCATCTCGAGAGGACTTACAGTTTGTTGTCATCTTGCTGCAAGTCTCTTTCAGGACATACACCTCTCCCTGGGAGAACTGCAAATTGTTCTTACAGTTCTGGACCTCTCTGGTCAGATCATCCATTCTTTCGTTAGTTGAGTCCATCAGTATCTGGAAAAAGCTCTTGAAGCTATTTTCCTGTTGTTGTAACAACTGCTTGTAAAATCATTTTTGTTCATTTAAAAGATCATTCACCTGTGATAGAGAAACACTGTCCTCTCCATTACTCCCACCTTTGGCTTTGGATGCCATGATAGTAATGTAGGCAAACGCTGGTACTCCATGCAGTTTCAGACAGGGCCGGTCGCAGGGCAGATTTAAACAGCAACAAACACCAGGGATTTAGACAGCCTCAGGCCCGGGACAATCCTCAGTCCTAGCCACAAGGGCTAACCGCATCGCAGGCTGTGTTCAAGCTGTCAAGGAAATCTTGCTATGCCAAGCAGCTCTTCAAACTTTTGGTTGGCTGGATCCCTGGACAGATATAGTGGTCCCAGCAACTGAGGCTACCAGCGTCGCGGGATCCAAATTCAAAAGGTAGCTAGTAACCAAACTTTTTCAATAGAACACTTTTTCAGAGACTTTCAAAACTTTCAAAACAACAAACCGAGCTCTCCCTCGTTCCGCCCTCGTTCCGTGTTCAACATGTGATGTCCATACCCTAACCCTAATTGTAACCCTAACCCTAAACCTAACCCCTAAGCCTAAAATAGCCTTTTTCCTTGTGTTTTTCCGGCGAAATGTCCCCACTTGTCTGAATGTTCCTTGTTTTACTACTAAAACCAAAAACAGACACCCACTCACACATTCTCACCATTCTCAGACTGCCACCAGGTCTTGAGGCGGTTGGGGGCGAAGGTGGTGACCAAGTTTTCGATGCTGTGGCTGGTGGTGTGGTTCATCCTCTCATCATACATCTCCCTGGAGTCACACACAAAACACTTCTTCTCCTCCTACAGAGAGAGAGGGAGGAGAGAGAGAGAATGTCTCAGTACTGTGAAGAACATGATCATTCACCTCTGATTATAGCGCAAGAGTCCATACGCTACCACTCAGTATGTCATCACCGTCTGTGTGTGTGTGTGTGTGTGTGTGTGTGTGTGTCTGTCTGTGCCTGAGTGTGTATATCCTGTAGTGTAAATCATAGTTTATTCTACCCTTTAGGTTCACTGCCCCTCTTAGCAGCAGAAGGTTTGTCTGCTCTCCAGATGTTTGGCGTACACACACAGATTCTGAATTCAGTCTTACACACACACACACACACACACACACACCCTACTCTCTGCACTGTATCTTCCCAACAAGTGTGTGAGTGAAGATTTCACAACCTCACAGTGTGACTTTCACAACCTTCTAATTTCATCCAAGCGGTTGCTGTCCAATCTATCTGCACACACAAGTTTTAACTGTGTTGAAATGTGACCAGTTGTAACCGCTAAGTGGTCCAACTCCCCCTCCCCTGTAGGCAAAGTCTGCTCCCAGAATTCTTTGCACTAGACCCTCAGGGGGGCTCTTGTCCTCATCCCCCGTTCTCCTCCTCATTATGATGACTAGAATGTTCCAATGTTTCGTTAATCATCCCACAGCCCAATGGTAGATAACCACCCCCTTCACATGGACACATTCTGTAGCCGTTCACCCCCGAGGGGATTCTGGAATAACGGAATACCCCCGATCACCCTCTCCCTTCCTCACCACCCCATGATAAGCACACAGGGTGGTGATTGTGTGGCACACAGTACTTATTGTGGAGGGAAATGCCAAGACTCCCACACAGCACAATACCATAGTCTCTCTCATACACTCAAATTGCTCAAACATTACACTGTACTGTACTACACCATTACATTACAACACTATTTTTTGCAACACAATGAAGTGTTATATCATATACCTGCTGGTCAGGTGTAATATAATAATAATAATAATAATAATAATAATAATAATAATAATAATAATAAAAACCATTAAGCAGATGCTTTTATCCAAAGTGACTTACAGTCATGCGTGCACACGTTTTACGTATGGGTGGTCCTATCCAGGGAATCGAACCCATCATCCTTGCGTTGCAAGCGCCATGCTCTACCAACTGAACTACAGTGGACCAGTGAGTGTTTCGATCATATGTGGCCCAGCTCTATTAGCTGCAAATCTAATGGTCATATCGTGTCCCATTATCTATCTGAACCCCCTGGGGCTTGCCTCCAGGGTGGGTATAATACCCATCTGTGCCCCATGTGTTACTTCTAGGTGCAAGGCCTTTTGGGGCCCCTAAGCAAGAATTGGGCAAAACATTTTAATGGCCCCCCCTCTTGACGGCGTGGAGAAAAAATTGAAGTTTTAATAAAGTTAATTTCCTGCAGTACACATTTTGCCATGGGGCGTAGAGAAATTGTTGCAGTTTTAAACTCAAGTTTTCTGCAATTCTACACATTTTGCCATGGGGGCAGAGAGAATAATGTGACATCCTATAACAAATTTCATGCAATTTTACCCATTTTGCCATGGATTGGAGACATTTTAGCAGTTTTAAAGCTAATTTCTAGAAATTCTACACATTTTGCCATGTTAATATGATATCTGTGAGAGTGACTAACATAATCAATTGGGCACGGTCCTTCATGCGTGGTCGGTAAAATCACCCATGATTTGGGGAGAACCGGGATGAAAGTAAAACTGTTTTCTTTTTTTTTATTACTCAAAGATCGATAGAGCTAGAGACACCATATTTTATGACAAACAACTTATATACCTTCAGAAAGTATTCACACCCCTTGACTCTTTTCACATTATGTTTTTATACATTTTTACAAATGAATGAAAAATTAAAAGCTGAAATGTCTGAAATCAATAAGTAATCAACCCCTTTGTTATGGCAAGTCTAAATAAGTTCAGGAGTAAACATTTGCTTAACAAGTCACATAATAAGTTGCATGGACTCTGTTTGCAATAATAGTGTTTAACATGATTTTTGAATGACTACCTCATTATCTGTAAGGTCCCTCAGTCGAGCAGTGAAATTCAAATACAGATTCAACCACAAAGACCAGGGAGGTTTTCCAATGCCCCGCAAAAAAGAGCACCTACTGGTAGATGGGTAAAAATATAAAAAAGCGAACACTGAATATCCCTTTGAGCATGGTGAAGTTACTAATTACACTTTGGATGGTGTATCAATACACTCAGTCACTACAAAGATACAGACGTCCTTCCTAACTCAGTTGCCAGAGAGGATGGAGACCGCTCAAGGATTTCACCATGGGGTCAATGGTGACTTTAAAACAGTTACAGAGTTTAATGGCTGTAATAGGAGAAAACTGAGGATGGATAAATAACACTGTAGTTACAGTGGCTTGCGAAAATATTCACCCCCTTGGCATTTTTCCTATTTTGTTGCCTTACAACTTGGAATTAAAATGGATTTTTGGGGGGTTTGTATCATTTGATTTGCACAACATGCCTACCACTTTGAAGATGCAAAATATATATATATTTTTTTTAACAAACAAGAAATAAGACAAAAAAACAGAAAACTTGAGTGTGCATAACTATTCACTCCCCCAAAGTCAATACTTTGTAGAGCCACCTTTTGCAGCAATTACAGCTGCAAGTCTCTTGGGGTATGTCTCTATAAGCTTGGCCCACTGTGATTTTTGCCCATTCTTCAATGCAAAACTACTCCAGCTCCTTCAAGTTGGATGGGTTCCACTGGTGTACAGCAATCTTTAAGTCATACCACAGATTCTCAATTGGATTGAGGTCTGGGCTTTGACCAGGCCATTCCAATACATTTAAATGTTTCCCCTTAAACCACTCAAGTGTTGCTTTAGCAGTATGCTTAGGGTCATTGTCCTGCTGGAAGGTAAACCTCCGTCCCAGTCTCAAATCTTTGGAAGACTGAAACAGGTTTCCCTCAAGAATTTCCCTGCATTTAGCGCCATCCATCATTCCTTCAATTCTGACCAGTTTCCCAGTCCCTGCCGTTGAAAAACATCCCCACAGCATGATGCTGCCACCACCATGCTTCACTGTCAATTCATAGAAATGGCGCCGGAGAAGATGGCTGCCGTTTTACAGCCTTCTAACCAATTGTACTATTATGTGTGTTTTTCCGCGTTATTTGTAATTTATTCTGTACATAATGTTTCTGCCATCGTCTCTTATAACCAAAAAGAGCTTCTGGATATCAGGACAGTGATTACTCACCTCGTATTGGACAAATACTTTTTATTCAACAAGTTGGACGCGAAGGATATCCTACAGACACCCGACAAGGCCCAAATCCCCGTCATTCGCATGAGAAAGAGACGGAGATATCGTGGACGTAGGTCGTGGTGCCTTGTAAGGATCCGACAGCGAGCGAGTAAACTGCCTCTTCCATCAATCCTATTAGCCAATGTTCAATCATTTGAGAATAAATTGGATGACCTAAGATTACGGTTATCCTACCAACGGGACATTAAAAACTGTAATATCTTATGTTTCACCGAGTCGTGGCTGAACGACGACATGGACAACATACAGCTAGCGGGCTATACGCTACATCGGCAGGATAGAACGACTGACTCCGGTAAGACAAGGGGTGGCGGTCTGTGTATATTTGTAAACAACAGCTGGTGCACAAAATCAAATACTAAGGAAGTCTCCACCACAAACCAATGCTGGCATTAAGATTGCACTGAATGAGCTGTATAAGACCATAAGTGAACAGGAAAACGCTCATCCAGAGGCAGCGCTCCTAGTGGCCAGGGACTTTAATGCAGGGAAACTTAAATCCGTTCTACCTCATTTCTACCAGCATGTTAAATGTGCAACCAGAGGAAAAAAAACTCTAGACCACCTTTACTCCATACACAGAGACGCATACAAAGCTCTTCCTCGCTCTCCATTTGGCAAATCTGACCATAACTCTATCCTCCTGATTCCTGCTTATAAGCAAAAACTAAAGCAGGAAGCACCAGTGACTCGGTTAATATAAAAGTGGTCAGATGACGCAGATGCTAAGCTACAGGACTGTTTTGCTAGCACAGACTGGAACATGTTCCGGGATTCTTCAGATAGCATTGAGGAGTACACCACATCAGTCACTGGCTTCATCAATAAGTGCATCGATGATATCATCCCCACAGTGACCGTACGTACCTACCCCAACCAGAAGCCATGGATTACAGGCAACATCCGCACTGAGCTAAAGGGTAGAGCTGCCGCTTTCAAGGAGCGGGACTCTAACCCGGACGCTTATAAGAAATCCCGCTATGCCCTCTGACGAACCATCAAACAGGCAAAGAGTCAATACAGGACTAAGATTGAATCGTACTACACCGGCTCTGACGCTCGTCGGATGTGGCAGGGCTTGAAAACTATTACAGACTACAAAGGGAAGCACAGCCACAAGCTGCCCAGTGACACAAGACTTCCAGACGAGCTAAACCACTTCTATGCTCGCTTCGAGGCAAGCAACACTGAAGCATGCATGAGAGCACCAGCTGTTCCGGATGACTATATGATCACGCTCTCCGTAGCCAATGTGAGTAAGACTTTTAAGCAGGTCAACATTCACAAGGCTGCAGGGCCAGATGGATTACCAGGATGTGTACTCCGAGCTTGTGCTGACCAGCTGGCAAGTGTCTTCACTGACATTTTCAACATGTCCCTGACTGAGTCTGTAATACCAACATGTTTCAAGCAGACCACCCCGTGCCCAAGGAAACTAAGATAACCTGCCTAAATGACTACCGACCCGTAGCACTGACATCTGTAGCCATGAAGTGCTTTGAAAGGCTAGTCATGGCTGACATCAACACCATTATCCCAGAAACCCTAGACCCACTCCAATTTGCATACCGCCCCAACAGATCCACAGATGATGCAATCTCTATTGCATTCCACACTGCCCTTTCCCACCTGGACAAGAGGAACACCTACGTGAGAATGCTATTCATTGACTACAGCTCAGCATTCAACACCATTGTGCCCTCAAAGCTCATCACTAAGCTAAGGATCCTGGGACTAAACACCTCTGCAACTGGATCCTGGACTTCCTGACGGGCCGCCCCCAGGTGGTAAGGGTAGGTAACAACACATCTGCCACACTGATCCTCAACACGGTGGCCCCTCAGGGGTGCGTGCTCAGTCCCCTCCTGTACTCCCTGTTCACCCATGACTGCATGGCCAGGCACGACTCCAACACCATCATTAAGTTTGCCGACAACACAACAGTGGTAGGCCTGATCACCGACAACGATGAGACAGCCTATAGGGAGGAGGTCAGAGACCTGGCCTTGTGGTGCCAGGATAACAACCTCTCCCTCAACGTGACCAAGACAAAGGAGATGATTGTGGACTACAGGAAAAAAAAGAGGACTGAGCACGCCCCCATTCTCATCGACGGTGCTGTAGTGGAACAGGTTGAGAGCTTCAAGTTCCTTGGTGTCCACATCACCAACGAACTATCATGGTCCAAACACACCAAGACAGTCGTGAAGAGGGCACGACAAAACCTATTCCCCCTCAGGAGACTGAAAAGATCTGGCATGGGTCCTCAGATCCTCAAAAAATTCTACAGCTGCACCATCGAGCGCATCCTGACTGGTTGCATCACCGCCTGGTATGGCAACTGCTCGGCCTCCGACCGCAAGGCACTACAGAGGGTAGTGCGTACGGCCCAGTACATCACTGGGGCCAAGCTTCCTGCCATCCAGGACCTCTATACCAGGCGGTGTCAGAGGAAGGCCCTCAATATTGTCAAAGACTCCAGCCACCCTAGTCATAGACTGTTCTCTCTGCTACCGCACGGCAAGCGGTACCGGAGTGCCAAGTCTAGGTCCAAAAGACTTCTCAACAGCTTCTACCCCCAAGCCATAAGACTCCTGAACAGCTAAACATGGCTACCCGGACTATTTGCACTGCCCCCCCCCACCCACCCCCACCCCATCTTTTTACGCTGCTGCTACTCTGTTAATTATTTATGCATAGTCATTTAACTCTACCCACATGTACATATTACTTCAACTACCTCAACTAGCCGGTGCCCCCGCACATTGACTCTGCACCGGTAACCCCCTGTATATATAGCCTCCCTACTGTTATTTTATTTTACTTCTGCTCTTTTTTTCTCAACACTTTTTTGTTGTTGTTTTATTTTACTTTTTTATTAAAAATAAATGCACTGTTGGTTAAGGGCTGTAAGTAAGCATTTCACTGTAATGTCTGCACCTATTGTATTCGGCGCATGTGGCCAATAACATTTGATTTGATTTGATTTGGGGATGGTGTTCTCGGGGTGATGAGAGGTGTTGGGTTTGTGCCAGACATAGTGTTTTCCTTGATGGCCAAAAAGCTCAATTTTAGTCTCATCTGTCCAGAGTACCTTCTTCCATATGTTTGGGGAGTCTCCCACATGCCTTTTGGCAAACACCAAACGTGTTTGCTTATTTTTTTCTTTAAGCAATGGCTTTTTTCTGGCCACTCTTCTGTAAAGCCCAGCTCTGTGGAGTGTACAGCTTAAAGTGGTCCTATGGACAGATACTCCAATCTCTTGCAGCTCCTTCATGGTTATCTTTGTTGCCTCTCTGATTAATTCCCTCCTTGCCTGGTCCGTGAGTTTTGGTGGGCGGCCCTCTCTTGGCAGGTTTGTTGTGGTGCCATATTCTTTCCATTTTTTAATAATGGATTTAATGGTGCTCCGTGGGATGTTCAAAGTTTCTGATTTTTTTTTATAACCCATCACTGATCTGTACTTCTCCACAACTTTGTCCCCTGACCTGTTTGAAGAGCTCCTTGGTCTTCATGGTGCCGCTTGCTTGGTGGTGCCCCTTGCTTAGTGGTGTTGCAGACTCTGGGGCCTTTCAGAACAGGTGTTTATATACATGTGACAGATCATGTCACACTTAGATTGCACACAGGTGGACTCTATTTAACTAATTATGTGACTTCTGAAGGTAATTGGTTGCACCAGATCTTATTTAGGGGCTTCATAGCAAAGGGGGTGAATACATATGTACTCACCACTTTTCCTGTATTTATTTCCCCATTTTTTTCCATTTTACTTCACCAATTTGGACTATTTTGTGTATGTCCATTACATGAAATCCAAATAAAAATCCATTTAAATTACAGGTTGTAATGCAACAAAATAGGAAAAACGGCAAAGGGGATGAATACCAGTGACTCGGTTAATAAAAAAGTGGTCAGATGGTCACTAGATGGGTTAAGAAAATGACATATTTTTGGAACCTTAAACAACCATACAACTCTACAACCCTTACAAAGCTATTGAGACCCCGACTGCGTTCATAAATAAGACACTGCTTATGTCGGGGCCCCTAGCGGCTGGGAGCCCTAAGTGACCGCTTATCTCGCTTATGCCCACAGCCGGCCCTGTCTAGGTGTAGTGCACCTATCTGTGCCCCAGGTGTGAGGTGTCTTACCTCCAGGTGACCAACGATGCAAAAGCGCTCAGGCTTCTCAATGCCGCAAGTGGAAGAGGCGGTGAGCTGGTGCGCGCGGCCGATCAGAAGGTCCCCGGTGGCGGGGTAGCAGCTCCCCTCAGTGCACACATCCCCAAACTCCGGCAGCTGTGCAAAGGAGCGCCACCCAAGGGCTGCGGGACAGAAACAGCGGTGAGTTTAGGGTATCATGGCACACGGGCGCGCAAAACATGTCTGGAATATAACTCCCCATGCAAGTATTATGCAATAGAACTAATCGTTATCCCACAGTTAAAAATCTGTACAAACATTTTCGACTTATGAGGCGTGTCTCTCCATTGCTATCACAGTCTCCCTTTAGTCTAATTCATCACTGGGTATTTGTATTGTTTTTTTTTAACCTTTATTTAACTAGGCAAGTCAGTTAAGAACAAATTCTTATTTATAATGACGCCTACCCAGGCCAAACCCGGACGACTCTGGGCCAATTGTGCGCCGCCCTATGGGACTCTCAATCATGGCCGGTTGTGATACAGCCTGGAATCGAACCAGGGAGTCTGTAGTGACGCCTCAAGCACTGAGATGCAGTGCCTTAGACCACTGCGCCACCCGGGAGTGTATAAAAACATAACGGTCACAAGATAGGCTTATCTCTGGTTAATTTAATTGAAATCACATGGACTCGCTTTCCAATCGATCCCTGTGGGGGGACTGTTTATGAAAACAGGCTGTTATGTTTGGGAATAACATCGACTGTGGGAAACAGTTATTGACTGTACAAAACAGCTTCTGTAAACGATAGCTAGTTGAAAATAATGTGCCCAAAACATATTTAGACAAGCATAGTGGACTGAAGCATCTGACATGTATAAGCTGTTGAACACATTTTAAATAATGGCTTACATATGTTCCTCATTAAATGTCCCCATGGTCCTGGATAAGTGAGAGTGAAAAGTAACACTGGAATGAAACTTTGTTGGCAACCGAAAATAAAATCCTCTATTGGATCTCTTTAGGTTTTTCTTTTCCTCTTAAGTCAATACTTGGCTTTATGCTACTCCTCAAAAGGCATTGAGAAAAGCTACATGCGCAGTAGGAAATTCACTATAAAACGAAACAGTTCCATGTAAAAACAATACTTACTCAAAAGTGATGCGATGTGTAATATCAACATTTTCGAGTGTGAAACATTGATAATTATCCCTCGGGTTGTTGTCAGCAAGTCCTGAAGCAGTTGTGTGCGTGAGTGTGTCTGTGTGTGTGAAAGAGTGGTCTCTAACTCTGTTCTAGGAGGTCGTGGCGAACCCCCAGCTATGCATCCCACTTGCTAGCGTGTCCCAACCCTCCTGGCTGGGTATGCAGCGCAGCGTGCTAACGAAGATAAGCGCGCCCCCTTGGCGCACCAGATTCAGCCTTTCTTTCATTAAATCATATAAGTAAGGCCTTTCTTTGATTAAATCATATAAGTAAATTACTTTACTTTTAATCTAGTGCTAAAAGTCAATAGACTGCTCTAGGTGTGTTGTCAAATCAAAGTTGTGGTCAGTATGCTTAGGCTACTGAGATCATAAGAACATGTCAGTCGGTCTGTAGGTCAGACAGACATGTGTAGCTCTGGAATGCACAGCTGCACATACACAACCTGCCATGTTTTACACTGTCAACTTCCCTGTTCTTCTGACTGACCTCAGAAGGAGAGTTGGGTACATTACCAGAGTTGGGTACTTTACAATGTCAAACATAGAACTTCACATCATCTGTCATTTTCTGTGCTTGTAGTGGAGTGTTTATTTAGCAGGTGGGCACAGATGGAGAGATGGGTGAAAAATCCTATTCTGGCAGATTCAATCCCTTATTGGGCTAAACTCTGGACATGCCTGTGGTTGAGTTGGACACAGTTATGACAAACGGCAGAGACAGATGCCCATAGTTACCCCTCAGTAAATAGACACAGCATCTCCCTGAACACTGAAAGTTAAAGATGATTCCTTTCTCAGTGCTGAAGTAATTTGCCTGGATTGTGTTTGGATTTTGAATGGTAATATCAAGATGTGTTTATTAGTTTTATGATCACCCTATTCATCAAGTTCAATGGGGTTTATTTTACAATTTAGACCAGGATCTCCCAAACTCGGTGGTGGGGCCCCATCTGGGTGCACGTTTTAGTTTTTGCCCACTACACAGCTTCAACTGTGAGAGACGGAATCTAAAACAAAAATCCAGAAAATCACATTGTATGATTTTTAAGTAATTCATTTGCATTTTATTGCATGACATTAGTATTTGATACATCAGAAAAGCAGAACATAATAATTGGTACAGAAACCTTTGTTTGCAATTACAGAGATCATACGTTTCCTGTAGGTCTTGACCAGGTTTGCACACACTGCAGCAGGGATTTTGGCCCACTCCTCCATACAGACCTTCTCCAGATCCTTCAGGTTTCGGGGCTGTCGCTGGGCAATACGGACTTTCAGCTTCCTCCAAAGATTTTCTATTGAGTTCAGGTCTGGAGACTGGCTAGGCCACTCCAGGACCTTGAGATGCTTCTTATGGAGCCACTCCTTAGTTGCCCTGGCTGTGTGTTTCGGGTCGTTGTCATGCTGGAAGACCCAGCCACGACCCATCTTCAATGCTCTTACTGAGGGAAGGAGGTTGTTGGCCAAGATCTCGCGATACATGGCCCCATCCATCCTCCCCTCAATACGGTGCAGTCGTCCTGTCGCCTTTGCAGAAAAGCATCCCCAAAGAATTATGTTTCCACCTCCATACTTCACGGTTGGGATGGTGTTCTTGGGGTTGTACTCATCCTTCTTCTTCCTCCAAACACAGCGAGTGGAGTTTAGACCAAAAAGCTATATTTTTGTCTCATCAGACCACATGACCTTCTCCCATTCCTCCTCTGGATCATCCAGATGGTCATTGGCAAACTTCAGACGGGCCTGGACATGCGCTGGCTTGAGCAGGGGGACCTTGCGTGCGCTGCAGGATTTTAATCCATGACGGCGTAATGTGTTACTAATGGTTTTCTTTGAGACTGTGGTCCCAGCTCTCTTCAGGTTATTAACCAGGTCCTGCCGTGTAGTTCTGGGCTGATCCCTCACCTTCCTCATGATCATTGATGCCCCACGAGGTGAGATCTTGCATGGAGCCCCAGACCGAGGGTGATTGACCGTCATCTTGAACTTCTTCCATTTTCTAATAATTGCGCCAACAGTTGTTGCCTTCTCACCAAGCTGCTTGCCTATTGTCCTGTAGCCCATCCCAGCCTTGTGCAGGTCTACAATTTTATCCCCGATGTCCTTACACAGCTCTCTGGTCTTGGCCATTGTGGAGAGGTTGGAGCGTGTGGACAGGTGTCTTTTATACAGGTAACGAGTTCAAACAGGTGCAGTTAATACAGGTAATGAGTGGAGAACAGGAGGGCTTCTTAAAGAAAAACTAACAGATCTGTGAGAGACGGAATTCTTACTGGTTGGTAGGTGATCAAATACTTATGTCATGCAATAAAATGCAAATTAATTACTTAAAAATCATACAATGTGATTTTCTGGATTTTTGTTTTAGATTCCGTCTCTCACAGTTGAAGTGTACCTATGATAAAAATTACAGACCTCTACATGCTTTGTAAGTAGGGAAACCTGCAAAATCGGCAGTGTATCAAATACTTGTTCTCCCCACTGTATGAAACATCTCAGACCAGGAGTGCTGATCTAGGATCAGTTCTGGATTTCAGATCATTATGAATAAGATTAAATGGATAGGGGGATCCTTATACTAGATTAACACTCCTACTCTGAGACATTTGAAAAACAGCCCCAGGACTCATCCATTGCCCACCACTACACGTGCTATGTGCATACATCACCCTCGTGTGGTATATTGAAGAACTACAAGAGACATACCAAGTAGCTCTAATGCTCTCAATAACAACAGATATTGTTCATATTCTTCCTGATTTATTATAAACATCATAGACAATACATTTCCTATTATTTCCTCATTAATCAAAAAATAGAATCAGTCATCTGTGTACTATGGCAGTTAGGTTATAGGCACAGGTGTTAATACTATTGGCAGCTTGAAACTCCTACAGTACAGTGAATGAGAGACTCTGACCCACTACTGTGGACACTCACCATCAGCCATCAATTTATATTCTACAGCTGTGTCCACTGGTCGGACGACTTTCTCATTCAAGCATTCAGTCTTGTCACAAATTAAATACATTAACATATAAAATAGTACATAAAGTTATAGCTTAGTCAATCATACTCGGTCCTGGAGGCTACTCGGGTGTGACATCACAGCTTGGCCTTAGGGCCAGAGTCATGGCTGGGGTACAGGTGTTGCCGTAGAAAGCCAAGGCTCTTTTCCCAGGAGTCTTCTTGAGCAACGGCGTGCGGCTTTGGGTACCCTCCCCACAACATGATCACTGCAACACACACACACAATCATTAGTTACTTTGCGAGTAAAGAATTGGTTATACATATATCTTAGTTCAGATGTGTATACTATAGGTGTGAGCTGTGTGTGTGTGTACAGTACCTTTCTGTCGTGTTTGAGGCACTATGAAGTTGCTGGCTCTGAAGTGGGGTGTGTAGGGCGGCTCAATGAGGTGTCCAGCATCAGGGTATTTTAGAATGGTCAGTAGGTTCTCATTACCCGCTGCACGCATCATCTGGGCCATCTGCAGGTCAGAGGTCACATTCAGCATCAATGACAATTATTGATTTCATAAGAAGATTTTAATCGTGTTTGTACTCACGTCCTCTGCAGATTCCACTGTCGCCCAGTTCTGATCATCCTCCCCGACGACCAACAGCAATGGACACTTTATCCTCCCAATCTGTCAGAAGACTCAGCAATGAGTAAACAAACCCACTGTGTGTGTTTGTGTGTGTGTTGACTTACATCCACTTTCTCTCCAGGGTCGGTTGGGATAGGCAGAATGATGTCTCTCCAGACCACACGGCCCTCTTCATCAAATTGGGTCTTATATCCGTCCCTGGCAATAAAATAATTATATTTTATTATATTTCTTCATTTGGAATGCATGTCACAAGCTTCATAATCACAGTACTTTACAGCTTCACTTTGAACAGATCTGGGTTTATTTTTCATTCACACATGGTGGTTGTCACTCACTCGTTTATCTTCGTAAACACTTTGTGGATTGACTTGTTGACCGGGTGGACGTGACTCCCGCTGATACACACACAGCATCTGGGCTGGAATACACACAGCATTTATTGTTTACACACTAAACAAACTCATAAGCTTATACACATGGTCAGTGTTGGGACAATAAAGCTTTCTGAATCTGAATTCACACTATACAGACAAAGCTCCAATCTGGAGGAAGAAGAGGAGAGTGTGAGGGAGACTCACGCTGATGACTTTGGAGTAGGCTGCCAAGGTGAGGGTGACTGACACTCCGAAGGAGAGACCAAATAGAGCAACTCTGTCCTTCATCACCAGGGGGTGCTCCTGCACAATCCTGAATGCTTTCTACACAACAGAGATAGAGCTCAAGTTCAAGTGATAAGAATACAATGTAGGACGCAATGTAGCGGATGCAATGTGAGGTATATGGATGCAATGTGATGTAATATAACAGTGAGTCTGGATAAATGGTCACAGGAGAGGAGTCTGCCCTCTCAGGGCCATTTCTGAACATTAAGATATGCACAAGCGTGTAGGCACACACACACACACGTACGCAGGTTGCACGGGCACACACAGTATGAGAATCACCTCAAAGTAGGTTTTTAAGTCGATGTCTGAGGTTCTGTTCTTGTCATGGGAAAGGTACTCTAGCGCCATGGAAACAAAACCATGTGACGCAAGGAGGCTGGCGCGGTACTCCACCAGCCCCCCACCTCCTCCCCACATATCCAACACCCCAGGGAAGGGTCCAGGACCTGGGGGTAAAAAGAGGGTCCCTCGAACCCCATGTTCCCTGATGTCAATTCTGCACACACCCGGTGCCATGTACCATCGTTCTGTGACAACGGTCGCTAGGGGAGACTGCTTGCTGAAGCCCTCAGTCATGTGCCCACTGTACACAGAGATGTGTACCACACTAGGAGTGAGGACATCCATCTTTCTTATCCTGAGAAAGAGAGAGAGTTTATTTGACTTGACCAGCCGGTCCTGGTCACCCTAAATTATGTGTTTTTCCTATGTAAAATTGACCGCCAATATTTAATTCCATAGGTGTGTTACCTGAGGCCTGTCCGACTCCCTGGAACAGGCTGCATGCTCCATAGTAGACCCATGGGCTCCGTGCCTTCATATGTTCCTCCAAGACTGGCATCCTTAGCAACTGCAAAAACAACAAAAATAGTAGAAAGAGAAAGAGGCCTGAGTTCCTGACTTGGACTTCGCAGTTGGATGACCATTCAAAAATATTTTTCCTAGTCAGAGCTCGTTTTTTCAGAGTTCTCAGTTGTCTTGAACGCACTGAATGGTGCTTTCAAAACAACCGGGACCTCTGGAAAAAAATGCGGTCAAATCATGATGTCAGTGATTTTCAGGTAGGAAAGTCGGAGCTCTAGAAAGAGGCCAGAGTTCCCGACTTGGAATTCTGAGTTAGATTACCGTTTAAAACAATTTGTCCTAATCGGAGCTCGTCCCAGTTGTCTTAAACATACTGAAGTCGAAAGTCGGAGACTTCCAATTTCCCAGTTGTTTTGAACTTGGCATTAATATGCTTGGGCATGTTCGAGTGGATCAAGTTTGTCAAGATGTTGACCAACGTTGGTCACGCCTTTCAAAGTGTGTTGCATTATGGGTATAAAAATTGACCTTCTTGCGACCAGTGTTGCCAACTTAGCGAATTTGTCGCTATATTTAGCGAGTTTTCAGACTCCTCTAGCGAGACATTTTCAAAAAAGCGACATTGACAAATCTAGCAACTTTTTCTGGTGTTATTGGAGACTCTGACGTGAAAGCACGTATCGTTCTTACTCTTCTCAACGAGCAACGGGTGTTGCCGTGGGCCCCACCCACGTCCCAAAGCACTCACAGGCAGCCCAGTCCTCACGTAGCAGTCCCTCCCAGCTGCAGTCAGAGCAGGAGATGTTCACCCCTCCACGTCCAGACTGCAAATGAATCGCGCATACGGGAAGCCGCAGCTGGCTGATCCCGCCCTGGCTTACATTCAGGGCGGGATGCAAATGTAGGGTGTTTTTTTACTCACTTTTTTGTCTCTCCCACGACGTTATTCCTCTTTCCTACAGCATCCATCACAATTACATGCACATGGCCAATTATGCAAATTTTTAGGACAGCCAATAGCTACTTTCCTTACTGAGGAGTTGGCAACACTGCTTGCAACTACATGTCCACTGCATGACCTTTACAACAACCATGTTTGTTTCAACAACATCTATTTTGGTTTCATTTACTCAAGGTTGTCTGTGTTATAACGTTGGATGCCAACAGCTGATAAACCCCACTGAAGAATGAGTTGTCTGTGTTGTACAGCGATATTGTTGTAACTTGATAGCAATAGAAGGCAAACTAGCAGGCAAAAACATTGGCCTGCATCTCAGGTTTCAGAGCGCAGGGACACTGATCTTAATGGCGACAACCGGGACAAGTGTAATTGAATTCCACAGAGTTCTTATGGGATTTCATACAGAAGTTAGGCCAAGGCTACATTCAAGAACCCCGTCTATAAACCCGGTCAGCGGTCACAAACCTTACCCGTCACCGTGCCTTGGCCGTCGCTAATGTAATGGCCGAACGCCTCCCAAAAGTCCTTATCCTCGGAGCAATGAAGGGAATGTAGTGTCACCGAGAGCGCCGGAGGTAAGTTCCTCACAACAACCTGGATCTTCTCATCCACGAGCCCCCGCGTGGGCTGCACTTCTAGAAGCGGGAAAGTCCCAACCATGGTGGACGAAGACCTGTAGAAAAAGACATGACAGAAACAACCGAACATTGGTAAAGATAGTGGGATTGACATTCCATTTGTCCTGGCTTTAATGTGCGACAGAACAAATAGGCTAATAGTCACATTCGCTTCAAACTTCGTATCCAATTTACTTACTCAGAGTTATTCAGTGTCAACAATTCTGTCATAGACATGCTGACATAGGCTACCGCTTCGTTTAGCCTACCACTTTCGGTACCTACCTGATCAAGGTGCGAGCAGACAAGTTTACTCGGGCAGGAAAGTACAAAGTCCGTGCGGCACTGCTCAGTTACAGCAATTCGAAACCCACAGCGGTGAACTGTAGGCCTATGTATGATTGACCTTCATAACGGCGGCAAGACTGAACACAATATATAGTGTTGAGATTGTCAAAGTACAGTTACTTAACCGGTTCATAAATGAATAACAGCAACAGACTGTAGGCTACGATGCAGCGGTCCAAAAGTCGATGAAATCCACACAATGAAGGTGCTTTGCACTGTTTAGTAAGAGGACCCGCTTAATCAGTGTCCAATAGCAACACAAAAAAAAGTACTTCCGGGTCTCTGAATTTTGGTAATGTTCAAAATAAAAGTCCCCCACGTAATAATAGAAAAATTTAATTAATCTCTAGGTGTCTACACAGAACACGAAAACAGGGCAGACGGAGCGTAGTTCAGTGTTGCGATGTCGTTTTTTCGTCACAAAAGGGGCGGCTCTAGAACCCACCTCTTGCTTCGGTTCTTGCTTAGCAATTGAAGAAGAAATGTCCCACCCCCATGCTACTTAGATTGATAGCATACGGAATACTACCTGAATATCTGAAAGACCATCCCACAATATCTGCTTCTTGGAATGTTCTTAAAATTGTTGGAAATAAAACGTGCAGTCTCCTTATGTACCTCCTTTCAAGCAACCATCTGGAGCTATCCACATAAATCACAGACCGGTATTGTGGAGAGATTTGCTACAGATGGGAGTTTGGACCATGTTTGATTTGTATAAAGATTGTACAATTATGGAACTGAATGAACTAAAGAATAAGACCAGCTTTACCAACCATTTTAGAATAATTCAGATTGTACAGGCAGTTAAGTCAGTAGATAGAACTATTACATTTAAACATGATTTTAACAAATTGGAAAGTTTCATAAAGGATGTCCATTCAAAAAACCATCTAGGGTGTATACATTCTTAAACAAAAAGACAAGGAGACTACACCTTCCCTTAAGAGAGAAATGGGGTAAAGATTTGAAGATGAATATGCAAGAAATTGAATGGAAAAAGGAGCGGAAAAACTGTTTTAAAACGTGCAGAGAGTCTAAAACACAAATGGTTCAGTATAATATAATTAATAGAACTTACTGGACTCCCTCTAAAATGACCTTATGGATCCAACAACATCTGGATAGGTATTTAACATATCAGCTAACCACATCATATGATTTAGTAGTCTGATGCCTGACTGCAGTCGATGATGTGGCACGCAAGTCCATTGGTTGATGTAATGCAAAGTCCCTGAAATGTTGTCAGCCTGGAACGCAACCAAAGTCTGTCATGGGGTGTGATAAGGGTGTCAAAAGAGATACAAAAGAGATACAAATACATGCATGCTGAAATCTTGGTGTCATCTTCACCGTCATGGCTTCTGGCTCTGGCAGGTGTGAGTGCTGAAATACATTTACAATCACAATATGTCTTTCAACAATCACTATTTATACAATGAACAACAAAAATACAGACTAGTTCGCCTTTGCTGTCCCTCTTTTTCCAATGGACAGTTGTGACAGGAGATTGAGGGATTTTTCTCCTTTGGTCCTTCTTTCTCTAAACACTTAATCAAAAGTCAAGTAAGTCATATGAAGCAAACATTTAAAAAAGTATTATCGCCACTATAATATCATCACTGTAGTGATATCTGTTTGGAAAGGTTGGCTGCTAATTCAGTAATGGGATAGGCCATGTACTGGAGCGAATTCCATTGCTACTATAGAAACTACATAGTAATAGTTGTAAAACAAGTCTAAGGGATGGGGCTGGTGATGAAATGTAATGACAGTGCTCTAACGCAAAATGCAAGGATTGACAGTCTGACATCCACATTTGGAAGCTGTACATTGTTCATTTGCATTATTGTTTGTAAACAATGGAAACCATATATTTGGGTTATGACAGGGTAAGACTGTTGTGCTAAGCTCATGAGGCATTTATTTATAAATTATATTCTTCAGGAATCAATGGGTATATCAAGAATAGCAATGGCCATTAAACAGATTTCCCAGACACCAGATTGTCTTTAATGAGATAAAATAGTTACATAACATATTCAGCCCACAGTCTCTCAAGTAGCCCATCAGTCTCTGCAATTCCTTCTCCAACCCTTCCAAATCACTCAAACTGTTAGCTATTGAATAGGAGGGAAATAATGCTCTTATTAAAGTAATTTGGATATAGCTCGCTAGCTACCTAGCTAGCTCATTTCAATACAGTCAATGCAACTAGCTCAACTAGCTAACGTTAGCTAGCTTGATAATGTTTCCTCCTACCTATATCTAGCTATGCTAGCTTAATATCTTTCATAGGAAGCCCACACAGATACAGTAAGTTGGAAAATGCAAAATATTATTAAATAAGGCACAGTGCTTGACTTGGACTGAAATAGGTTCCGGTACTAATTTTGGGTGCCGGTACTGTTTATATTTAGGTGCAGGAACTCCACAATACTTTTGAGGAATATTCTATAAAAGGAACAGGAGCTCAAGCAATAGGCCTAGAACATTTGAGGTGCTGGTACACGGCCCCGATGAGCTCCTACTCAAGTCATGCACTGATAAGGCAGTAATGGAAAAAGTAATGATTTAGTGCTAGCTACATCAAGAAAAAATGATTTAGAGCATCTGCTAAATGACTAAAATGTAAATGTAAATATACCATATATATGTGCTGGTATATATACCAATCTCCTAGCTTATTATAAGAGTCAGCAGGCTACTGGTTTCATTGACACTGGATCTGGATGTGCAGCGTGGGAAAACATGTCCCCAGGTCTTTGTTTAGAGCCCTTACCATTCTGTTTAAAGCATTTCCCAAACTAGGGGTTGCGGTCACCTAATTTGAAAATGGGGTCCGAGAGAGAATTTGCGCTTGGTTCATAGAACCAAGGTTACATCAGTAACCTCCGTTAGCTGCTAGATGGGCTGGCTGATATCTCAGAGAATTTCGCATTATTCTGTACATAAATCCGAAACACTGCATTTAGTATGATATGTTAATAAACATACAGTATGTTACGAATTTGCAAAATGTATGATATGTTATGAATTCTAGATACAGTTGAAGTCGGAAGTTTACATACGCTTAGGTTGGAGTCATTAAAACTCGTCTTTCAACCAATCCACACATTTCTTGTTAACAAACTATAGTTTTGGCAAGTCAGTTAGGACATCTACTTTGTGCATGATACAAGTCATTTTTCCAACAATTGTTTACAGACAGATTATTTCACTTATAATTCACTGTATCACAATTCCAGTGGGTCAGAAGTTTACATACACTAAGTTGACTGTGCCTTTAAACAGCTTGGAAAATTCCAGAAAATTATTGTATGGCTTTAGAAGCTTCTGATAGGCTAATTGATATCATTTGAGTCAATTGGAGGTGTACCTGTGGATGTATTTCAAGGCCTACCTTCAAACTCAGTGCCTCTTTTGCTTGACATCATGGGAAAATCTAAAGAAATCAGCCAAGACCTCAGAAGAAAAATTGTAGACCTCCACGAGTCTGGTTCATCCTTGGGAGCAATTTCAAAACGCATGAAGGTACCACGTTCATCTGTACAAACAATAATACGCAAGTATAAACACCATGGGACCACGCAGCCGTCATACCGCTCAGGAAAGAGATGCGTTCTGTCTACTAGAGATTAACGTATTTTGGTGCGAAAAGTGCAAATCAATCCCAGAACAACAGCAAAGGACCTTGTGAAGATGCTGGAGGAAACAAGTACAAAGTATCTATATCCACACTAACACGAGTCCTATATCGACATAACCTGAAAGGCCGCTCAGCAAGGAAGAAGCCATTGCTCCAAAACCGCCATAGAAAAGCCAGACTACGGTTTGCAACTGCACATAGGGACAAAGATCATACTTTTTGGAGAAATGTCCTCTGGTCTGATGAAACAAAAATAGAACTGTTTGGCCATAATGACCATCGTTATGTCAGGAGGAAAAAGGGGGGGCTTGCTAGCCAAAGAACACCATCCCAGCCGTGAAGCATGGGGGTGGCAGCATCATGCTGTGGGGGTGCTTTGCTGCAGGAGGGACTGGTGCACTTCACAAAATAGATGGCATCATGAGGAAGGAAAATTATGTGGATATATTGAAGCAACATCTCAAGACATCAGTTAGGAAGTTAAAACTTTGTTGCAAATGGGTCTTCCAAATGGACAATGACCCTAAGCATACTTCCAAAGTTGTGGCAAAATGGCTTAAGGACAACAAAGTCAAGGTATTGGAGTGGCCATCACAAAGCCCTGACCTCAATCCTATAGAACATTTGTGGGCCGAACTGAAAAAGTGTGTGCGAGCAAGGATGCCTACAAACCTGACTCAGTTACACCAGCTCTGTCAGGAGGAATGGGCCAGAATTCACCCAACTTATTGTGGGAAGCTTGTGGAAGGCTACCTGAAACGTTTGACCCAAGTTAAACAATTTAAAGGCAATGCTACTAAATACTAATTAAGTGTATGTAAACTTCTGACCCACTAGGAATGTGATGAAATAAATAAAAGCTTAAATAAATCAATCTCTCTACTATTATTCTGACATTTCACATTCTTAAAATAAAGTGGTGATCCTAACTGACCTAAAACAGGGAATTTTTACTAGGATTAAATGTCAGGAGTTGTGAAAAACTGAGTTTAAATGTATTTGGCTAAGGTGTATGTAAACTTCCGACTTCAACTGTAGGTGGCTAACCTTAGCTAGCTGGCTAATGTTAGCTAGGTTAGAGTTACGTTAGGAGTTAGGGTTAGGGGAAGGATTAGCTAACATGCTAAGTAGTTGTAAAGTAGCTAAAAAGTAGTAAGTAGTTGAAAAGTTGCTAAAATGCTAAGTTGTCTGTGATGATATTCAAACTCACAACCTTTGGGTTGCTAGACATTCAAATTATATGCCCACCCATCCACAGTAGTAGTTGTCCCGTGTAGCTCAGTTGGTAGAGCATGGCGTTTGCAACACCAGGGTTGTGGGTTCGTTTCCCACGGGGGACCAGTATGAAAAAATAAATAATGCACTCACTAACTGTAAGTCGCTCTGGATAAGAGCATCTGCTAAATTACTAAAATGTAAAATGTAACCATACAGTTCATTCAGAAAGTATTCAGACCCCTTGACTTTTTTCCACATTTTGTTATGTTACAGCCTTATTTTAAAATGGATTCAATTGTTTTTTCCCCCTCATCAATCTACACACAATACCCCATAATGACAAAGCAAAAATAGGTTTTTAGAAATGTTAGCAAATTTATATAAAAAACCAACAACTGCAATATCACATTTACATAAGTTTCAGACCCTTTGCTCAGTACTTTGTTGAAGGACCTTTGGCAGCAATTACAGCCTC